TGAATACCTCACTCTATCTCTCCTGAATACCTCACTCTATCTCTCCTGAATACCTCACTCTATCTCTCCTGAATACCTCACTCTATCTCTCCTGAATACCTCACTCTATCTCTCCTGAATACCTCACTCTATCTCTCCTGAATACCTCACTCTATCTCTCCTGAATACCTCACTCTATCTCTCCTGAATACCTCACTCTATCTCTCCTGAATACCTCACTCTATCTNCAGACTGTGAAGGAAAACTATGGGAACAACCTGTTCCGTATCAATTATAGCTAATTAAACATGGAATCACACAATAAGCATGGAACACTAGTTTAGTGTACCCGATAAATTGGTATTCTTTGCCTGGCCATACTTTGTACGGAGCTCTCACAGTTTCTCCCGTTTTTTATGTCAAGTTGACGTTTGTCTTTGCGTGAGTTTAGATCGATTTTTTTTAATCCCACCACTCTACAGTCAAATAACGAACACTTTCATCCTGTTTTTGGAATTTATTTATAAGTTTAAGATCTCTCTAAGATTTTGAACTTGAACTCTTGTCAATGTATATTTTTCGGACCAATTCTGTATAACATTGGAATCTAACATTCTGTTAGTTTCCAGAAACCGCGCTCAGAGTGAGTTGTCTGTGCGCAATAAATGATCTTCTGGGCAGCCGTCCTGACAGTGCTAGACTTTGCATCAATGTACTATTTGTTCATGGACTGTACTATCAAACTCGCTCAATTATTACACGTAACGGCCTAACTACACGTAGCGGTTTAAGTCCACGTAGCGGCCAAAAATTAACGTAGAAATTTCCATATATATAAGTTCACTTAGAGGCATAATTCTGCGTAGCGGCCTAAGTACACGTAGCGGCCAATTTCTCGTCTGTGATTGGTGGGTTTAGCAGGAAAAGACGTCCGTGACTGGCTGACGCAACGGGTAAAATCATCTAAAAACAAGCAAATAAATTATTTCTTGTGCTTTCGAAGGCTCCTTAGAAAAAAATCGAAAGAGTGGTACGACATCTGCTACTGAGTTTTCGGCGGGATCTTTGACGTAAATGGAATAAGTTTAGGAATTTGATGCATTAATGCTGCTCATGTAATTTCTAAATGACAGTCTCAATGAAATATTTTTTGTAAAAATATTAGAGATAATCGGCAATTATATTCACGTTTATTATCTCTACGAGTTCCATTGCTTATGAGAAACCACACAGAAAAAAATATGAACGCCTCATGCGAGGAAAAATGCAAAATTGTACGGGTTGGTATTGGAATTTTTCCAATTGTGAATTCACGCTAACAAGTATCTCAGGTTTTATTTGTTGAAAGTAAAATAAAAAAAATAAAAATAAGGAGAGTTATGGCGATCTGATTTTGTGCCGAAACATATTTTTTGTATTCTCTCCCGTAAGTTTGGGTTTTGCTTAGTGCTCTGCTCTCCTCAAAATATAGGTTGTTATATTTCGACTTAAAATCAGGTAATTAAACCGAATAATATTATGAATAACATGCCTGTGAAATGAAGGTATGACTTATGAGAACTAGTCAGCGTACGCGGCGCTGAAACTGTGGTAGTTGGGCTTGTTTGTTGCGGTCAGGTTCGGGGCCTGGCGGTTGGAAAGGAACCTTGTTGAAAGGAGCTTAGGAGATTGGTGACGGATTATGAGAGGAAAATCGTTCTCATTACTGGACATTATTTCGGAGAAATTCTTTTGTGTGCCTTTGGAAAGGAACCTTGTTGAAAGGAGCTTAGGAGATTGGTAACGGATTATGAGAGGAAAATCGTTCCCATTACTGGACATTATTTCGGAGAAATTCTTTTGTGTGCCTTTGTAGATGAGATCGGGAATATTTCTAGCCTTTTAAGGTGTGTTTCAAGTGTAGGAAGATCGGAAATTCCTTGCTATGTGACACTTCCAATAGGATAATCAGATAACAAAACTTTAATGAGCGTTTAGCGAAAAATATGCTTGACTGGTCATAGACATTTAATTATTAATTTTCTCCACAACTGCGCGCTTCTCATGCTAGAATTACTTCAAGTTATTTCACGGTTAATATTTGCTTTTAAATAAATTATAAAAGAAAAGAGAAATGTGTTTATTTTCAATGTTTGATTGTTTATCCGGGAATGATGAGCTATTTTTGCTCCCACTAAACGTGCTTGTCAGTTGTGAAGGAACCAACAAAAGATACGTTGACTGTAACGTCACTTTCATTGTAAAAATAGAGAGCCTTCAGAATATCCTATCCTCCAAATCGTGACAGGATTAAACTGAAGTTTACACGCATCCTATTTATTCTATTGTTACTGCTCCTCGTAAGTGAATTGTACTTGTTGTTTCAATGAGAAAATCATAGATTTTATGAAATCTTAGATTTTTCACTCTATCCTTATCCGCTTTTGCTACCTTAGCTTCATTCATGAATCATATAGTCTACGGATAATACTCCACATATTTAGCTAACTTCTCTTAAAAAGATTCAATGGACGATTTTCCAAGACGAGAATCTTTCACGATTTGTACATTTTTGCGGTCGAGGAATATGCACTTCGGAATATATAGTTACATTAAATTTGGGTAATCTTGCCATGTTCTCCTGAACTTCGGACATACGCCTACCTTAATTATGTTTAATTAATTGATTAATAAATTAAAAACATCTGTTTTTCGTATCACCCGTTGACCATTGTTGTCTAAATTTTCTATCCGTTCCATTCACATAGGAAAACGTGACATTAATTAATACGTAACTTTTCCTATTGTGAATGACTCTTAACTAAAACACAAGCTTTCTTTATCCACATTATAGCATTATAGAATTCAATTGTTTTTAATAGGGGGCACGGCAAATAATTAGGTCAATGTGATCGAGCAATGGCCAAAAATTTCATTCAAGAACATTCGGATGCCTACGTTTTATTGATCTTGACACTTTCTTTTAAACACAATTGTTAATTGAGCTTGACACAATTGTGACCTTATGTCATTTATGTGGGTAAAGGGCGGAAAACTTGCGAAAGATAAGCTGTGATAAAAGTTAAAACAAATTATTGCTATTTTTTATGAAATTTTGATGGGCAAGAGGATATTTCTAAATAAAGCTAATTACATTTTAGGGGAAACTAGGGATTAGTCTTGACTGAATGCCTAGTGTGGTGACAAACCGTAGTCAGAGATTACAAAGTAAACCAATCACCCCGAAGTCCGTTACTTTATCCAGTTTAACTTTTTTTCAATACATTGTAGTGAAATAAATTTGCAATTGATTAAAACAATCTCTTCAGTATACTGCAATTGGAAATCTCTCCTCTCAAGAATTAATTACAAGCACGAAATAAAAATGTCACTTTGAGCTCAAACCAAAGTTAAGGAACTTCGCACGGATTGATGGGGGAGAAAAATTATATTATGATAAGTTTCTTAACTCAATCTTTGAAATCACTCCCTTATTCCTTCTCCTGGATTCCATTCGTACTTATTCCTTTGCCTATATTCCCCATGTTAATTAATTCCCAATTATTATCCAGATTTGTCTCCGAATTTTTGCTACTGTAGGACTCGTTCATTGCTAAAATCAGCGCGTTTTTCTATTTAATAAATTATTTCATTAAAAACACCTTTCATTATTACGGGCCCAGAAAATATTCGTTTAATATTTATCAACTCAAGTTGTTAGAGTCTGTGTGCATCGATGCTTAATAAGCTCATTCGCCCAACAGGACATAAAAAACGTTTTCCTCCCTCAATGAGCGTTCACAAGCTCGCTCCAGCTACCATTTGTATCTTGTTCACGCGCAGGTTCATTGTAGTTCCTCGTACCGAGATGTGGTGCACTAGTGCTGTAGCTAGCCATCGCGTAGCCTGTTACTAGCGTTTCTGGGTTGTAGCTTCCGGTTGTATTGTAGCAAGCAGTTATGTATAAGGACTGTAGGGATGCCAACATGCACCTTTATTAATGATTAATTTTATTTATTTCTTATAAAATATTAAATGAATTTTTATCCATCCCACTGCCTTCAACGGTTTTTTTCTGTGTCTTAGTTAGTTCAATTTCTTATAAACTCGCTTCAACTTTGAGCGCTGTTTGTGGCAAGGATTTGAATAGCATCTATTATATTCATCTAATTCGTAATGCGAATTAGAATTGAGCAGTCATGATAAGTAAAATCGGAATTAAAAATTGGCTGAAGCCTTACTGCAGGATGATCAATTGTGTTTAAATTCAAGACTTGACAAAATACATAGAGAAGTCGTGAATTTCGTAATTCACGGAAACTTCCTGTTTCATTTTTGCGCAAAGCAGATAGATGTCGCAGGAAAAGAACGGTAAGTATTTTATATGAAAGTCAAGGTCATGAAGTTTTGTGTCCCGCCTAGTCAGTTGCCACTATGCATTGGACAAGTGTGCAGCGTGCGTTTACTGTCGAGGCGTACATTTCTAATGGCCGCTTTGCGGAGTTGTCTTCGTCTGAGACAACATTTGGCAGATCACCTAATCTCCTTGAGAGGTGACCTTCTTTGGCCGGTTCCATCCACCGATTTGGCTTCGTGTGATTTTTTATGGGGTTCTTAAATCTTAAATCAATTGTTTACAATGACTGTCCAAAAACCAAAATCACTTGAGGAACGTCACTGGTGCGCTGTAGCAGTCACTGGTGCTCCCGAGCTGTCACTGGTGCGCTGTAGCTGTCACTGGTGCGCTGTAGCTGTCACTGGTGCGCTGTAGCTGTCACTGGTGCGCTGTAGCTGCCACTGGTGCTTTGTAGCTGTCACTGGTGCTGTAGCTGTCACTGGTGCGCTGTAGCAGTCACTGGTGCGCTGTAGCTGTCACTGGTGCGCTGTAGCTGTCACTGGTGCGCTGTAGCTGTGACTGGTGCGCTGTAGCTGTCACTGGTGCGCTGTAGCACCGGCGGAGCGTAGCTCTGGCTGGCCCCCTTTAAGCAGAGCCCTCGACTTCCTCTGCCCTCGCGCCCTCAGTACGCAGCTCTCGCCCTCGCTGGTCCATGTCGACGCCAGCTTACTCCTGCTGCTGCCACCTAAGCTTAGCTTTACATCGCAGTCCGGCTGCTGTGAATTGCCTGTTACGTGTATAAATTAGTCTAATTAAACTGTTTTCTTGTGATAATGACGAACTGAAAGTTTTTTGGATAATTCGTGCAGTTATCGTGTCAGATGGAAGGAACTTCGCTCTGAACCAAATTTCCTGGACTCGTGGCCCCGGATATTTGTTTCTTCGATTTCTGGTTACTCTGACTGCGGCTGGAAGGAGTACTAATATAATATTTACAGGTGAGTGACTCTTTTTTTTCAATAAAGCATGTCATGTCATCATTTGATAACTAAATGCTTTTTTTAAGCGAAATCAGCGGCTGAAAGTTTTACACCTTCATAAGATACGATAAAACGCAAAGTAAATATGAGTATTTCTTGGTAATTCAATTAAAAAGAATTCAGTTTTTTGTATTGAGGCAACGATTTTTCCATGCGATTTATTTTATATATAGAATTCTTCTATTTAGAAATTGATTTTTTATTGATATTATCGTGCGATTGTATACGTGATTCAATTAACATCCAACAAAGCTGTGTCCCAGCAGGCAATGTCAGGATAAATCAACCATGAAACAACGTACTTCGTTGAAAAATATAACGTACTTGAAATAACGTACTTCAAATAACGTCAAATATTAATGCAGAACAAAAAAGGGAATCAGCTTCATTTTTTCAAAGTCGTACATTTCGATGTTGTTTTAACGTTGAAATCGCGTTGAATTCTGACGTTAAAAGCACATTTATAAAAGGTTTTACCACGTTAACATGTTATATCTTAAATTTCCCAGTATTCACGTGATTTCAACGTTGAAAATGTCTAAATGTAAAACGTTGAAAAAATAACGTTGATTAATTTTTCATTCTGGATTAATATTCAACGTTATTTCAACGTCGCAAAAAACATTGATTTACATTGCCAGCTGGCGGCTCATCAGAAAAATGTTCAGACATCGAATTTGATCATTTATTGCATGGGATATCATTTATTAGGCCTCGATTACCGTTGCAATAATGATTTTTTTTATCTAACTTCCATTTAACTATGGCTATTATTTTCCAGCTACTTGAGATTCAAGTTGATACTGGCTGATCCAGCCAAGGCATCTTAATGAATCGTTCTCTACCCTCATGCATTCCGATTTTTTTTCCTCCGGATATTCAAAAGTTCGCTTCATAGTTTTACCAAACGCGTGCATAGATGACAGTAAAATAATTTTCGGAGGAAATTACATTGTATATGAATTCCAACCATTGATGTCGGGCTAGATGTCAATCCTGTTGATTTATCGGTTGGTCAGTTGTAATCTTTCTCAAAAATTTTAGATTTTACCGACGAAAATATTCTTGTTTTTTTTTCTTTGAATCATAGGTATTATACAAAATGAAGTTTTGCGAGACGCTCTAGAGTACATCCTGACAAAGTTTTATAGGCAGAAATATTTTGTTCTTCGTTAAACTTCGAAACAAAATCCCTCGGAAAGCTCACTTATTTGTTATGAATTATTCATGAATTGATCTGAATGATGTCTGATTGCAAATAAACGCAATCAGACATTATATTATTCATAATTGTGATAATAATTCCCTAATGATGATAATTCCCGTAGGATGAATTTGAGAATAAATATCGTAGAGTGAGACGCGAGATTCGAAAAATTAATGCAGTGCAAAAAGAATACTCTGGAGCCAAGGTTTTCTTGTCGATCGATTATAGAGAAGGTCTGTGATCAACGTTGATCAATGATTTGATTGTTGCAACCATCAGTTGAAGGGATAATAATTCACGATTTTATCTGGATCTTCAATTAGTATCTTGCTAACACGCACATTAGCTATAAAAATAAAAATTTTAAAGAATAAATATACTGTCATGAATGAAATTACACGAAAACCACGAATCCGAATTCCTGATATTGTGTAAGCAGATAATAATTTCTATGAATTTTTAATGCCGCATTTCATTGAATATTGTACTGATGATGAGTCATCGTGACCAGTTTGTTCATCGTGGAAAGTTAAATTATGCCAATCTCTTCAGTAATAATCATAATATTCCCCACCGAGGAACATGTTCACAGTGTCACGTCAGTCAGAAAATCCCATCTTCCTAACGCATATACCCAAGCGTCGGAGAATATCTCTTTTATGTTAAAAAATTACAATCTTTCAATTACAAATTGAAAGAGGGCTCGCCTCTAATCAGTCTTTAGGAGAATTGAGAAACGACTGCAACTTTTACTTGTAATGAAAAACTTTAACTTTAACTTTAACTCGAGTCAATTTCGGCAGAGAGGCACCGAGCCGAGCCACTTGAGCAGTCGAAGTTTCTAACGGATCGCCGTTATCGGAAATCAATTTCGAGTGAAATATTGGGCCGTGCAGCACTCGACTGCATCACAAGGCTCAGCATTTTTTCACATTAACCTTAAATGGCCTCTCTGTAAATTCAAACTTTTCGTACAGTGTCGTTGCCACAACATGATCATCGTGCTGTGGTAGGATCTGAGATTCCAATTGTAATCTGCAAAATGACTTCTTTTGTGTGAAAAGAATACTATTGGTGGCTATTTTGCATATTGAAGTATTTAATTGAACGGATTTCCTTCGCAGATGAGCTGTCTAGAACGCATGAGATTCGCGTCAAAAGTTGGTTACAAACATTTAGTTGCTACTTCACTAATTTGAGTTCTGATACGGAGTTACATTTTATTATAAATTTTGATTTCTCATTTAGCCGCTTAGCACTAACGTAAATTGAAACTTTCCACAATAAATATACCAGGCATTTTGACTGAAAATTTTATTCTAATTTATCGATTAAACATCTTGTCTTTGGTTAGTAACAAACTAAACTTTGAATTAAAATTTTTGTACAGTTCACCTAATCTTGCGACGCTGAGCTCTTTCAAGTATTTTCAAACAACAACTTTTAACAAACATGACTGCGGTTTGCGTCTAAACTTTTAACGAACACGACTGTATTTGTTATGAAAGTTTTGCTATTAGTTATCAAGGTTAAGTTATATAATACCATGCTTCTGAATAGAATATTTTTACTCCAATTTCTCGTGCTACCGATTAGAAATCATACATCATAATACTACGTTTTCGTGACGCAAATCTTCATCAGAAGTTCCCTGTATCAGGAAAATAACTTTGCGTATCTGAATATTTTATTACACACAATTTGAAATAAAATATTCCATAGACAGGTATAACGGCCTAATATTTCATAATTACAGGTAAATAATAATTTATTAATCAACGATATTAGAATATAAGCACGTTATTCTGTTGCCATAGTCTTCTTATTGAATGTTTTTGAGCTGCGGTGTTCGAGTTTAATCCATCACGACATCTAATGGGCCGCCAGTTTCATCCAGAAAAGTTTTTTTGGACGCCCCGAGACGCTCTTCTTTTGCTCACAGCCGCGGCAGCGCCGAAATATCACATTTCTGGCGCCCGTGTTTTGCATGATGGACCTGCTGGCAATTTTTAAACCATTAATCTGGCTTGGCACGGCGAAGAATTTGATGTAGACTGATGGGAAAACTGAGGAGCTCAAGGCAGGGCTTCAATTAAGGGGCTTTTTTCATATTCTTTAGTGAGTTTGGCCGATGAATTTTCATTCATACTTAAAATTTGTTGGTGGAATTTTTTTTCAAATTTTTCAATTTAAATAAAAGAGGTTAGTTTTCGCAGAGTGAAGAGGTTTTCGCAGAGTGAATCCTTAGGTCCTTTTGATGTCAAAAAAAAACTCCTGAGCAGCTTTTCACTATTTGTGAAAACAACATGCCAAATGAGGAAGATATTTCAATCGATATTAAATATTTAATCGACCATCATTATAAAACCCGATGACCGCCATCAATAAAAAAATTAAATTCGCCATCGTTGAGTTAGTTTGCGGTTGAGCCAAGTAGTCTTTAGAATCGAAGTCATCAGTTGAAATTCATTCGCATTTCTACTTCACATCTTCCTCATTACCGTAACCACGACTCTACATTTGATTAAATTATTTGTTTGAAACCCCAAATGGAGCCGAAATTCCGTAACGATCGCTCGAGCACAAAATTAATCACCTCATTCGGGCTTTAATTGCTTGCTATTTCTGTGCCACTGGGAAAATTAATGCTAAATTACGTATGATTTAATATCGTTAACAGCGGTCGATTTAATATTGTTTATAGTGGTCTTTAACAAAGACCAAATTGGTCATTGTTGCTGTAATGAATAGTAGTGGACGATACTAAGTTATATATCTGGAAAAAAATTCTTATATTTTTTTGTTTTATGTACAATTTGGAACTTATTTACACCCGAGCATTTCGTTACCTGACCACCATTTTACAAAGACCAACCTCAAAAAAATTCAACTAGTCTGATTTATTGAGACTGAATCTTTTTGTCTGTGCTGCATTCTTCTGGTATACTCTACTAATTATAACTTACAATATTTTTAACTAATACTCAAATGACTGGAGGCACTGAAAGCCATCTACGGAGGAAAGTTAGAAGGTAAAACAGTTATTTATAAGAGTCGCTCGACTCCTGCGAGTTCAGTGAAGCTTCATTAGTAAATCCATCATTCGTAACGTGAATTATATAGCATATTACTCATTACGCAGCGTTTTTTCGACGATTTACAGCAATTTACGGAAAATGGCTGCAAATTTTTAGCGACAACAACTTCCCACGTTATAATGATTGTTTTTTTAATTATGATTTGTTCGTGGGGCTTGAAGCTATTCCTCGCACATATTACATTATTGCAAGCCTAGCATTCTCAGCATTATTTCATTTTAATTCAACGTTTATAATACGATAAATTCTGATTAATTTTGCTGAGTTTTTATGTACTGTTGGCAAATCAAGATCGTATTATGCACAAAATTCAACAATATTTTTTTCAGTAACTATAAAGTTTAAGCTCTCATCGTAGCTGCCAATCGTCCCTTTGGAATGCACATTGTTTATGCATTTTACTTATATGCAATAATAATTATTGCATAAATAATAACTTGTCTCAAATTTATTGCTGAGCTATGCGAGCGAAGACTAAAGTGCCCAAACGTCAGTCAACTTTACACACGTTGGTCTACTTAATACGCATTCGTCAGCCAATTTACATACGTCGGTCAATTTTTCATAATCGGCCAATTTTAAAAACGTCTGTCAACTTTATATCCATCAGCTGATTTTACGCACGTCAGCCAATTTTACATTTACCGATAAATTTCACATATTTCGATTGCAAGAAATCGTAAACTCGGCACTCAGATTTTCTTTAACCCTCAAGTGCCTCCCTCATGAAAATGAGTATCTAGATTTGGCTTCAGCAAATTCCAATAACTTTATAACAATGGGAACGAATTTGCAGAAAGCGCGCATGTAAATAACACACTCAATATGCATGTGTAATTATTCGCGTGTTATCTAAATTTGCGTGTTGAAAACTGTTCCAAACTCCAAATGGAGCGTATTTTTTCGGATTATCAGTATATAGTTTGTCCCATTTGTCATCAAAGGAGCTGGACTCGTGTATCATCTTAGAAACAAAAGCTCTAGCTTTTTTGCTTTCTAAAATGAACTTGCCCACTCGTCCATCTTCTCTCTCGACACTTTAAGTTTAGAATATTTTAAATCTCAACTTATCCAAATTTTTATTTCCTAGCTGTGGAATATGATCAGTCAGGATACTTCTACAGTATTACTCCTACAGTGCTTTTTCTACAGTCAGGTTACTACTGAGATGCTTCTACAGTCGGGTTACTCTTACAGTCGGGTTACTCCTACAGTCGTGTTTTCTACAGTCGGGTTACTCCTACAGTCGGGTTACTCTTAAAGTCGGGTTACTCCTACAGTCGGGTTACTCCTACAGTCGGGTTACTCCTACAGTCGGGTTACTCCTACAGTCGGGTTACTCCTACAGTCGGGTAACTTAGCGCAGATTAATGAAGACACATTCCTGTAATCATCAGTTAAGAGTCACCCAAACAATATATGTATCCGATTCACAAATAACATAGTCTCTGAGAGAATAGGTTAAAATTTTTAGGTAATGCTTAATAGTTAATAAATTGAGAACGTTATGCACACATATACATAATAATGTACAACTAAAATGTATGTAATATTAATCAAGATTAAAATAAATAAGTTCGTTTGTTTAGGACAACCGCTTCTATTGATTTGAGTCGTACCCTGTGCATTCTGAAATTAAATCTCACACAACAGCCGCAAAAAATATAACTCAGTACTCATTGCAGAGAGTGACAGAGAGAGCATTTTCTCAAAATCTACGAAAACGTGAAGTCACGGACGGACGGACAGACGGACGGACAGACAGACGGTCAGACGGACGGACAGACGGACATGACGAGCACAATAGCGCATTTATTCCATAAATGAGAAAATGCGCTAAAAATGCAGATGTGTGTGTCCCTATCTAGAACAGGACAAAGAAGGACTCTAGAAGCTTGTCCCTCAGTGCATTCCTTATGAATGCATGCATTGCAGCGACCGTGCGCGGCAAGTCCTAGAAGTCCCTGGCTGTTGCTGGGCCTTCAGTTTCCCAACCCAGGAACTAAGTGACAGAATTCCGACCGTGTTCCCGAGAAGAGGGGAAGAGGAGGGGAGAGTGTTACCAACGAATGGGAAGAGAGGGGGCAACAATCCCCATTCCCCCTGCCGTGTAATCAATAGTGATGGCGGGGCTCATGCTCTCGTTTTCTCTTTGAGAGCAACCGTGCTGCTCTCCAGCAGCAGCTTAACATGATTCAGTTGATCCTCTTTTTAGTTTCTCCACAAAAGATTTGCAATTTTCCATCGGCAAACAGATAAAAAACACGATAAATTGCGTTTGATATTAGGAGTAGTCGTAGCTGGAATAATTACAACCATTTTTAGTGTTACCAACGAATGGGAAGAGAGGGGGCAACAATCCCCATTCCCCCGGCGTGTAATCAATAGTGATGGCAGGGCTGTGCTCTCGTTTTCTCTTTGAGAGCAACCGTGCTGCTCTCCAGCAGCAGCTTAACATGATTCAGTTGATCCTCTTTTTAGTTTCTCCACAAAACGATTTGCAATTTTCCATCGGCAAACAGATAAAAAACACGATAAATTGCGTTTGATATTAGGAGTAGTCGTAGCTGGAATAATTACAACCATTTTTTCCAAAGAATGAAAGTTCGCATTTAATCGAAACAACTTTAAAATGTTCTCTCTTGCGTACAAACGTCCTCAGGTTGCCACAAACAATGTTTCATGTATAATTGTTTGTTCCCGGAGAGTGACATGCGGCGATTAAACGAGGTTGAATGAACGACTAGTAGGCAAACGCATTAAGCGTATAGTTTAAGATATAAGGTCGTCGTTAAAAATCATTTCATATTTATAAAAATACTTTAACTAAATGACCGTTGAATAAGAAAGTAAAAATAAAATTTTTAGCGCTAAAATAAATTTGTTAAAACTAACATTTTTTTGCTTGCTTCTAAAAAAGCCTATCTTTTGAAATTTATCATAATATATATTGAAATTTTAGAAATCCCTGTAACCGAATGTGCAATGCACTTTCCACTGCTTCGTGGATGCTCTGCTCTACATTTTAAAATTGTAATCGTTACCTCTGATGACATGGTAGCTTTTTTACACCGCCATCGCGGATGACGTTCATAGTGCTTAATTATTCTTAAATTTATTTCTGCACACTGAATCAAGTGGGACAAATTATTTCTTATTATTCATGTTCTATTTCTGATATTGCAGACCTTCATGATTGCGGCGGCCTGCTGGTATGGCAGGCCAAGGTCGTATAGATTGATAAGCTTTATTGATGGTCGCACCGTCTTAATTAATTGAATTGCTGGAGACCTAACTGGGTACATTGCTCCTATCCTTTACGGCCAGTGCATACGCTGAGTGTTCTTTCTCTCAAAAAAATAAAATTCTATGTGAATTCAACTAAAATTCTCAAACGTATGCCTAAGTTTGCGAGTCAACATGGCCCTTTCCGTTTTTTCCCCGATGGTACGGGTGCATGTTTTGTTGGTTGGTTTGTTCTTCATCAAAATTGAACTGAACCTCATTAATTTTTTCGTTAACCCGATGTTAATCGATAACAACTAGAATTCTTTAATTACCTAGAATTTCAAACATCAAATACCTGTATCAAATGAAATTAGATCAATAATATAAAATAATCTCACATTCGCAATATTGACGAAACCCTAACTCAAGAGAAACCATTCTCTTCACTCACTCTTTTGAAACGTTATTATATGTAAATTTTGTTAGGGTAGTTCCATGTTTCATATTAGTTTCCCTTCAGAAATGATGCAATTAGAACATCGGATACAGACACTTTATATTTGCTGAAAAGTAGGACATTTATTTGGGTTTCTTCACTGGAGGCTGCTGAAGTATGCTTAATGTTTATATTGCTTTCACCATTACATACATTTACCTGAACTTAAGTACAATGTGATTTAGTGCAGCCTAAAATCTAGAGAGAAAAATTGTTGAGTAAATTGACAATGTGTTTCTATTTGTCATATCAATATTTTTTAACTTTCTAATGTATGATTTTATATTTATAAACGTGAGTTTTCCAAAATGCACCTTAGTTCAGCTGAAAATACAGAGAGCAGTATGCTTTTTCGATTAAATGTACAATATGTATTTTAAATTTCGATTTTAATATCTTTAACACTTAAATTGAGCTAAAACGTACGTACGTTAGTGAGGCTAAAATTCAAGAAAAAATAGAATTATTAATTACTAAGTACTTTGATGCAGAAGTTACCCCGTTACTGCGGTGTAGAAGTTGTCCGACTCCTACTACGATGCTCTACTACTCAGGGCCTATACTTTCAAAAAAAGTTAAGAGATGGTAAGTTCATCAGCCAATCATTGACGGCCTTTCAAGCAAAATCCACCAATCACAGGCAAGAAAATAGAGCGTAAGTACTTACGTTCACTTAGCGTGTTTTGAAAGTATGGCCCCTGGTGTAGAAGCTTTGAGAAGTCACCCAAACGCATGCCCATCGCATGAAGCATAAATATCTGTAGTAAATAGAAAGTTTGTTTAAGGAAAAGTAAAGCCGTCTGAATCTAAAAGATCTTTGAGCTTAGGACATCATACTAAAATCATGAATACATCGCCAAGTCCACTGGAAACCTTTGATTCCGAAAATTTTTGAAAATTCGGGACTCCAAAATCTCATAGCCTGAGAGATGCATTCTTATTTTGGTGTCCACCAGATTTTGCAGTAATTAAGCTTGTAGACAAATAACGATCAAAACTATAACACTAACCTAAGATTATCGTGTATTCTCAAAATTTTTGAGCTGATGCATGGTGGAACTGATCTCTCAAACATTTTTGATGAATATATGATTAATTTACTTGAAATTGTTTTTATTTTAATTTTTCGTGAACTTGCTAATTTAACTGAATAATGATAAAAGCAAGAACCGTCAATTTATATTATATTATTGTACGTTTGTAGATGTTCATGTTCGGTTTCTATCAGACTATTCTTCTGTTCATTTATTGTCTTTTATACTTTTTTGCCAAGTTTTGATGAATCACGTACTTTTAAGTGCACCAGGTTTGTATAAGACACCGCCACTTTTCAAACAACGTATCGTTTACGTATATTTTCAGTAAACGACTTTTTCCTTGCAAATTTTCCAAATAATTGCTTTGACTAAATTTTTTACGTTCAAATGACTAAAAAACATTACATAACTTGTTGTATTTGTTGCATGAATGTTATAATTTTAATTTTTGTTCCTTTTTCCTACAGCCGCAGGTTTAGGCTGTCAGACCACCCCTCCCATCCAGAAGAAAAGCCTCGGGTGAGCAGAGCGACGTTGCCTTTTGCCTCAGCATCTCACGACTGCATCATCTGAATTTAAAAATGAACAGATAACATCCAGCGTATGCACTTAGCTTCATTAAATTTCACCATTGCGCGATCGATTTTTCCCTAGGTAATGCATTAATTTGAAACCTGAAATAGAAGCAAATTTTCTCAAACATCTAAAAACTCATCGAGTTATTACACAAACAATGAGCTGTTTTCAGCTGCTCATTTCCTTTAAAACGCTGTCGTCGTTCTTATAATTTCATCCAAACACTTTCATACTTTCATACATAGTACAGATGATACAAACTTCACCGAAGTAGAACAGTTCACCATATGACCTCAGTTTCACCAATGTTCAAAATGCAAATTTTCTTCGGCCCAGAGCGGATCTAAAGTTCAAAGGATCCCCTGAAGCTCAAGATGGGTCGGCATTCAATACCAACCTGTCCCATTATCGAACACTTGGGCTCGGCTACAAGAGATGCCAGTAAACGCCTTGAACCAAGAGCAGTTTCAGAGCGGTGCTTAAGCAAAAGAAAGGATCAATGTTCGTCGAAGCCTCAGCGAATAATGCCCGTTAAAGAATTCTGCTCTCTTTCTATGGACCTGCAATCTGCTAAATTTTATGACAGACAATCTTACTCACTATACTCCAAATTTGTTAAACTTGGAAAACATCATCTGCCAAGAGAGGAACTTACTTCTCACCAAGTGATGGAAAATGTGGATGAGGAAGGGAGAGTATTAAAAAGGGCGCCTCGCGTACGGCCATTTCTTCGAAACATGACACGATCGTTGGCCATCGTGCTTCTCTTGGTACTGCTACCTCTTTTCATCGGAGAAGGTCAGTGTCTGTGCAAAAAAATTTAATAAATTATCAATATATATAAAATGAGCATCTATACATAACATTTAAGGCACAAGAAATAATAATCCAAGCACGAAAATTCAGTCTATTTCATTTTGGATTTGAGATGGCACTCAATGGTGATGAGACCTTTCCAAAACTGGTAGAAAAAAAATTTTCATGACCATGTGGAAAACTTGCATTTTTCATCATCAAAACTCGTCAATTTTTAATTATTTCGAAAATATTATTTTCCATATTATAAATATGAGGAACATTTTCATTTTTCATTGTTTTTGAGCACTTGGATTTCACAGCGCATGCGGAACCTGAGCCTGAGCCTGAGCCCAAGACGAAGACGGTGAGACAATGGAAAGCAGTGGGTGACGTCATACCCATATCAGAGGACGAGGATTCTTACACCGAAAACAAACCCAGTGAGTAAATTTCCTGTTCAGAGAAAATTAAAAACTTAAAATTATAGTAGATTCTGCCGCGTTTTCCTAAATTTTGTTCATAAGTTTCCTAAAATAAGAGTTTCAGTATAAATTTTAAGACCAAAATATTTCGAAATTTAAAAATTTGCATAATGTTTATGTGTTTTATAGATATAAAATACAAAGCGGACAAATTGGATTACTGTATTTACCTTTACGATTGTTACATGGAATAGTTTGTTTCAATAAAGCTTCGGCATCTAGAAAATTAAGATCTCGTTTATCCTAAGATCAATACTGATGTCTATGCATGTATAGATGTTTTATAAATTGAATCAATTTTATATGATTAAACTACCCTGGAGCAATATCAATGCATTGCAACAAATATTATTTCATTCATCCTGTTTGCATTTAAAAACACCGAAATTAACGATGTATTTAAACAAGAATTTTGTGACCAATTTTTCATTAGGATCAAGATTTCTATAAAAGAGCACATAATACAATTTTATCATAGCTGTTGCTCGGTGACTTGAATATTCACACAAATATTGAATATTCATACAAATCAAACCATGCATCCCAGTTTGGTATTCGCTATTGTATTTTTTGTTGCTAAATAGCAGCTCACTTTTGATGCACAACAGATAAAACTCAATTGCTCAAGATGTGATCGTTGCTTCTTATGAATTTTTTACTGTTGAGTTGCAGCTTGTGTTTGATGCCCAAGAGATAACATTTAATTGTGCAGGATGTGACTGGCGTTGCGTAAGTAGAGCAGAAAAGGAAGAAATTTTCCACGCCCCTGACATCTGCAATCCCGAGAAAGTGTCGCGTCAGTGCCTGTACGCTCAAGAAATAATTTTTATTTGTGCAGAATATGACCGTCGTTATGTAAGTGGAGCCCAAAAGGAAGGAATCTTCAGAGCGCCCGACATCTATAGCCCCGAAATAAGTGTCGCGTCAGTGCGTACGCTCAAGAAATAATTTTTATTTGTGCAGGATGTGACCGTCGTTACGTAAGTGGAGCCCAAAAAGAAGGAATCTTCAGAGCACCCGACATTTACACTCTCGAAAAAAGTGTCGTGTCAGGGCTTGTACGCTCAATAAATAATTTTTATTTGTGCAGGATGTGACCGTCGTTACGTAAGTGGAGCCCAAAAGGAAGGAATCTTCAGAGCGCCCGACATTTACAATCCCGAGAAAGTGTCGCGTCAGTGCCTGTACACATTCATCGCGGGGGAGGGCGAGCGCGTCAGACTGCAATTCAACAGATTCGACCTGCGCGGCACTCCGCCCGAGTGAGTTCAACTTCGCATTCCCATTTCACTTATATAATGTCAAATTTGTATGTCAATTGATATCACACATCAAATTTTTTACAAATTATAATGCCTAAAAACTTGCAACGGAAAGTAAAATAGGAAGAGAACACCTAAAGGGAAGCTTGTTTAATTCTGAAACTCCGTTTGGTGTACTACAGTCCGTCCCATAGCCTCACCAACAGAGCATCTACCGCTACATCTCGATCCATAACTTTATTGTTACGTCCATCATTGCAAAAAGCTTGAAATTTTGAAAAATATATGAACGAGTGTCTAATTGCTGTTTGCTTGAAATTTAGTATATGTCAACATTCAGTCAATACTTTCCAAAGTGTATTTTTCTTCCAGAAGAATATTGGTTTCTTTCCAAATGCATAAGTGAAAATATCTTAGGATATCTAACTTTTTTTCTGTTGTTAATAACAATGTATGCCTTATATGTGTGCAACCCTATACATATCGAAAACAAAATAAAATGTTTCAAGATTGTTCATCCAAAACCTAGTTAAGTTAAAAAATGTTTGAAAAAAGACTCTCTTCTCTTTCTCCAAGAAAAAAAAAACGCGTGAGAAAATAGTCCTTCATCTTCTCACTAACTTTCATTGATAATAAATTTCTGTCATTTAATTTAATTAAATAGCATTTTAGGCAAAGAAGTTTTTCTTAAGAGAAAATTTACAAGGAAACATTATACATACATTTTCTATCTCGTGTTGTTATTATAATTATCAGTTAAATTAATAATCACTTTTTAATGTCATATAATTATCAGTACTCATAACAGTTCATAATCACAAACAGGCCAAGGAGTTCAAAACCACAAGTTTTGAACTCTGATAAATTACGATGAACTCACGGAATTAACACCATAATTTTATTTTATATATTTTATTAAGGATTTCCATGTGAAGTTTCTGACCTCAATTATATCAGGACTGCTAAGTGACAGTGATTGACTGTCCATCTTACCTACGAATTCCCACTTCATTGAGGTTATCTAAAAAAACGTAAAACGATACCAGGATCAGAGGAAAGTCTGTCAAAAGTTAAAGTTAATGACAATATCCAAAACCCCTAACCATAAAACGTAGCCTATAACTTATAACGATGACATTTTTTTGAAATTGGAGCCTGTAATATATAAGATTTTGTTCTCGTGTGTGCATGTTAGTTAGCGCACTCGTATGAAATAGGAGGAATTTTTCGAAGACAAGCTTCTTCAAAATTGTCACGAAGAAAATTTTTAGGACCTCTTGAGGCGTTCATTGAGACTAACAAGAGAAGTTCAGGTTCATTGAAATAACGTTCAGCACAAAATAAAAATGCTCGGGTGACGAAGCAAAAAATAAATAAAGCTTATGATCTTTATGTAATGCAAATTCTAGTTCACATGTAAAGAAATTTAGACAGATGACAAATGCCGAATAGATTCACCGATAATTGCCATCGTCAGAAGTTTCAGGCTCGTATGTGTTCAGTTCTGCTCAAACCAAGTAAAAATTAAGTAACAATTTTAATAATTCACAAGGTTGCTGAACAAATTAAACTTTGTTGAATACTGCAGATTTTTTCCTGAACATATCGGTTCAAAGCAGTGGAATTATGAGTTTAAAAGCCTGACTGTAGCTATAATTTTTATGCAATTGTTTGATAAATTTATAGATTTGTTCGTCAGAATTTCTTGATTGATGACCAGAAATATTTTCGTGACTCATTGGAAAACAAAATTTGTTACTAGTTAAGCTTAAATTTCGAAATTTTCACACACTATTTCAATTTGCCTTATTCAATTCAATATTCAATTTGTATTCGCTATTTAACCTGATATCTTTATTTCTACTCATTTCCTGTTTCAATGTTCGCATATATTTCGATTCACAATTTTATGACCAACAAATTTTATTGTCAGTGCTTTTTAACCCACATATTTGCATATTCACGGTTAATTACTCATTTAACGTACTAGGATAAAAATAATGCTTAACAATAAGTATCTCATCAACCATCTGACATGACTGAAAAACTTGTCGGTAATTGGCGTAGTTGCGTTAGTTAAGTTGCGAGAAAATTAGTTAAGTTCTAGTTAAGTTACGAAAAAATCAGGTCCATTTCGTTAACCCACAATTGAAAATAACTCTTTGAGCCAGAAACTAAATCAATGAAGAAAATGTGATCAATAGTCTATAATGTCTTTCAATTTTTTAATAAAAAACGACACAAATTTATTTCACAATAAATATTTAGATTAAAAAAGACTGGACCTTCCTTAACTGTATTCTTCTGTTCCTATCTGTGAAATTTATTTCTTTTCCTTTCTTCCTTGTTTAGAAATATGTGTCTAATACGTAATATTTTTGCCTTGTTTTGAGCGGAAGTTCTCATTAATGGTAGCAATGAGTCGATATATAAGCGGTGTGGCTTTCCCGTAGACTTTATTTTAGGTCAGTTAAGCATTTTAGCTTCGCCTTATTAGCAGTTTGTTTTATATCGTTTCTCCAAGAGCTGCTGAAACGATGTTCGCTTATTAAGACCCCACTTCATTCCTGTTTTTTTATTCGCATGATTTATTCTAGGTTCTCATATTCTTCCCTATTTTTGGTTGACTCTAATTTTCTTGTGAGAAGTTTGATTGTCTCATAGCTGCGACTAGACTGTGTTGTGTTTTAGATATTTTCTATTTATGATGCAAATTAGTATCACTATTTCTGTATAGGCGTAGAAAGTATCATAGAAGAATGAGAATTATATTATCCACTCTCTCATTTAACGAAGGAAATCTGGAGCTACCAGTAATTGAATCTGGAGCTTCCAGTGAAGGCTGGAGATACCAGTAATTATAAGTAACCAACAGTAACTTGGGGCTTAGTTTAACCATTACTCGTAAGATGAGCCTTCGAATTAAGACAGTAAAAAACTTGAGATAGAAGTCACCGGGACATATTGGTTGTACATTTCAAGACGGTAGATCCATTGAATTACATTATAATTTTTCAAAAAATTTATGTCGTTGAGCACTGGTATGTTCAACAACGTTGATATGGGAGAAATACAAATGTTTAAATACAAATGTTTCATTCATGAATCGAATGCGGCTTATACACTTGAATGGAAATGACAATATGAGAAAACTTACTGCAAAACAAGCTTATTTTCTTTCTATTACGTAATATTTATGCTGATGAATTTTGATTGTAATTACGATTAGTTATATTATTAGTTATATTACCCATAGTACGATTAGTTATACTCTTCTTCAGTTATTTGTTTTTCCTGCTTATAATAAATTTCGAAATTCATTTGCCCTTATAAAAGTGATTTAGCAATTCTGAACCTCTGAAACGATATAAAATTTTCTGAATGCGCGAAAAATCGGGGCTGAGACGAAATTGATGGATGACTTTGAGTGAGACTTGAATGTCTTTTGGCAACTATTTAAGAAAACTTTTACTATTTCCGTTGGTCAATTTTTGAACGTTATTCAGCCTTAGTTTTCATTTATCGTGCATCCCGTGAAAACTTTAGAATGACAAAAAATATAATTTTCTATTCGCCTGAACATAAGAGGAAGCGAAACAGTAAATTGACCTAGTCAAAAAGTATTATGAGTAACTAAAATATTTTTGACTACGCAACTTCACCCAGATCAATTTGAGAATGGAGGACTCAAATTTTTTCGAATTGAGTTAAAATAGTTATATTGGAAATTTCGAGCGGCAAGATAATACTGTCCACCAACTTACGTGAATTGAATTATTTTTATTTTTAAATACCCTCTAAGCGAACAAATTTACCGGAAGTTATTTCATGTTGTTTCAGTGCGAATATTATTATTTATCGATCTCAGTACAGATTTTTTGGTAAAAAAATAATTTATAGGGTTCTGTGGCATGATAATATGAATCTTTAGCAAACACATCATGAATCATGAGCGAAGTGATCACTTATCATTTCTAACCAAAATTATTACTACTTATATCCTCAATCTCCTTAAAACGCAGGCTAGCAAGTTTAAAGCAAAGAGAACACAAAGTAAATTCACCATATCGATATTGAACAATATTATTCGATAATATTGTTTACATCGATATGGTGAATTCACATGGCGTTCTCTTTGCTCCTAATTCCTTGTTAAAATAATTGATCCTTTCGTGGCGCTGCCGGTCATGTTCTTAATGGAAAACTTTGTTCAAGTTATGAATATTCCTGATGTTTCGTTCACAAATCAATAGGTCAAATTTTGTAGAAATGAGCATTACTCGTTGTTATAATTATTTCCTCTAATTACAAATATGCTGAGTTTTTACTCTACTTGTCGAATTCTTGTGCAAAATCACACATAAATTTTGATAATTCATTATCAGAGTAAATTGCTAGAAATTTTACCATATTTCCAACGAAATCGTTCAGGAGACCAGCAACGTTCTCAATTCGAAAATTCAATAATAACATTATTATTGTTGTAGCAGTAAGACACAAGAGATACAATATTGTACACATCATAATCACAATTCTACTAGACTATTGAATTTCTGAACTAAGCAAGGATTCACAAAAGCCCCAGTTTGAAGTGCCAAAAGTGGAGGCGAAAATTGTAAAATTTATTTCGGACACCGGCTCGTCATATCGTTCAGTATGAGAACGCACAGCTGGGTCTTACCGCACTAAATACCTACTCGCCCATCCACCTCATTTAGCTGTGCGCATTCACATTATACATTGCAAAATACCGTTTCTCCAAAAAATCAAGTTTGAGCCAGTCTTCGGAACGATTTCATTGGAATTACAGTAAGTTTTCTTTTCCAGAAAAAAACCTAAATTTTCATTGTATATGCGGTTAATTTCTTTAGCGAAATATATTTTTATTTATTCACCAATTCTCGAATTAATTTAAACTTCCAGCTTATATAAATAGCTTTGAATCAAATGAAAAACCGTGTACTTATTCCTGCTATTTCGGCAAGGCAAAAGTTGCTTGCAGGTCTGGCCATGATGACAAAGCTAGATGCTTCCAAACGTCTTTGATTTAATGATTTATTGGAATTTGGTTATATGAATTCACATTATTTAATAAGATTTCTTCCTTCGACTCGCTTAATGTTATACTGCAATGTCACTCGCCCACAACTTTCACAAATATAACTAAGTTTTAAGTACAATTTTTCGTAAGCTGTGCGAAATATTTCACGAAATAATTGCTCACATATTTCACCATAATTTAACTACCACCTACGTATTGCACACCTTTTGAGAATCCAAAACATTTTCTACGCTAAATTTAACATTATAACGGCTGAAAAACATCATTAAATGATTTTTCATCAACTACAAACGCACGAACAAAAATGATTTACAAGTCGAAGATTGTCCACTATCTACAACTCCCACCACGCGTAAAACTAATAAATTTTTGCATCAATAATGCCTCGCATAACCATAATTTATGTTACCGATCTTAAAACTTGAGTTAGAATTTAAAAATTTCTACTGTCTATTAAACATTTCGCATTTCGTGAATCGCTATCAAGTCACAAAGACATTACATGAGTGAACTTTTACTAAACACTCAATGTCACACTATCACTGAAATTTAAATTCCGTTCTTGCATTTACGTGACTCTCTCTGATCTCATACCAACCTAGATTATACACTAACACCGAAACCTCCTTGCTCGCATTTTCCTAACTCTCTCTCACCCCAAGACGACCATCACTACACTTTAATGAACAATCTATTTAACAACATCACCGAAACCTCCGTTCTTGCATTTACATGCACCTCTTTGCAAGACCCCACGAAAACCTTAACTACACTTTAATGAGCAATCTATTTAACACCATCACCGAAACCTCTGTTCTCTCATTTACTTGACTCTCTCTGATCCCATGACAACCATCACTACAGCGGGTCAACTTTGGGAGTAACGCCGGCGTGAGTAGATTCCCTTTCGCGCATTTTACTCAATTTGAAATTTTTCTAAAGTTCTATTTCGATCCAAGTAATCTAATTACTCCTTTATATTTGATGGAATTTATAAAACACTTTTCTTATTATTATCATTGATCTATGAACCTCGTCCTTGTAGCATAAACAAAGAATCTTAAACATCTTTTAAATCCATCGCTATCATGATTCTCGTATTTCGGAACTCTCGTGTCTGATTATTACGCCTCGTATTTACTTGAACGGTGAATGCTCTAATTTTATCTACGCCTAAGAGGAGGCCTCCTTTAATCGTTGTCTCTCATCAATTCCTATTTGTTTTCTTTCTCATACATTTTATCAACAAGTCCGTTATTGGCACTTGTTCCATAATTATTGGGTTAAGCGTTCCATTTTAAGCATTAATAATACTTTATAACGTACGCGGCCGTAGATTTTGTGTTCTTTCTATTCTCTTTTTTATTGTTCTTTGTTGGTTTTCTTTGCAGAGTAATTCATGCTTGAGTAGTTTTTAATGTATGCATTATTTGTGAGTTGCATGTGCATTAAAATAAATATCCTTCACACGCACTTGGCTTTTCAACAGTGAGGCTTCTCAAAGTTTGTCTTCTTCGCATCCACCGAGTTATATTTATTTTAGACGTTGATTTTAATAATTATTTACGGCTTCCGTAAGAACCAAACTTCGAGAAATCCTCTAATGTGATCTTGCTTGATGCTCCTCTACTTTCTTCTTCTTTGGACGGTCTCTTTTCGACGGACTGTTGTGTTTCTATAAGCACTTTTGCCCTCCATAGATACCTTGAGTCGAAGAAATTTTCTAGATCTGTTACGAAAAAGAAAGGGTGAAGTGAACTATAAAACACATGGTATGTGGGTAGACAGGATTAACTTTTGGTTACATGTACTTAAGTTGCATAGTGATGAAGGCACTCATATGTACTCGTAATATGGTAGTAGATGGTTATATGTATATATGAAAACGAACGTTGCACACTTGTAAGTATTATTTTCTCTGTTAGAACTACTGAGAGCTCAATGAAAATTGAAACGCAGCAATATAGTATTATATGAATTATATCGCCATCATAAATCGCTGTTCCGAGAGTTCAGCATTTACCAGTTTTTTTTCAACAGCACATTCAACACAAAAGTGCTCAGGCGGATCGTGCATACAACGCCGAATGAATTTTACATATTATTCTCGATTGTAATATATATTTGAGTATGAAAGCCAATGATTGAGCAATCCTTGTTATTTCTCCGATTTTTATTTTTTATGCATTTGTTGTTTTTAACAATTCGTAATTTAAATACTTGATAATAAATGACTCGTGAAATTCGGTTGGCGAGCTTTTACTCTTCATTTATTTATAAAAAGCATGCTAATAATTGAATTGGGTCTAAAATTCATACCCGACATCATTCAATTTACTTCAATGAATTTATTCACAAACACTTGCACTGTTAAAACTAATAACTCGTGATATTATAATAAGATTATAATAGCATCATGAAGCTTTTATAAATGATCATCCACGTTGTCAAGCGCAAAACTTAAGGTTGTTAAATTAATCATGAATGAAACGGAGGTTTAAAATTCTTCAATATAGGAAAGAGTGTTCAAATCTCATTTGCTGAACTTAGAAATGACAGAAGCAGGTTCAAATTTTTCTTTTGCGCATCACAAAAAAATACATTGGGGGAGTAAAAATTAATAAGAAAAATATTTGAATTATATTACAAGTCATTGAAAATTAAATATGACTTTGAAATTTTTCAAATAGTTCATGTGTTCATATTTACATCATAAAAATAAGTTTCCAATCAAGTTTATCACTGCCCTGATTTGAAACATTTTTATGATATAAAATATGCTACTATTCAATCTCATACGTGTAAGTGCATGAACAAATTAGAGTTGACTTCTATATATTTTTTAAACTCTCCGACGAACGTCCTAGCTGTAAACAGATTTAATGTCATGAGCATTCAAATTTTTTATCATTTCAACCAGCAATCATACAATTCCTTAGTGATGATGAATCGCGATGATTGCAATAAATATTGAGTAAACTTAATGCAGTTAATATTAGCTCTTAATTACTATTTGAGGCAATTACAAGGTGATGCTAGTCCAGAACTGATAGTTTGGATAGGTGAATCAGGATGAAAGTACGCCTGATTCATCAGCCTTTGTTAATATATAACAATTTATTTGCTAGATAAATATTGAAAATGTAATAAACTATTAAATGCGTTATAATTTATTTGAGAAAATATGCGTAGGAAGAATCATTGCATTTAAATTTCTAAATTCCACAAATTGTTTTATTAATCTTTTTATCGCATTTTTTTCTCTTTATAATACATGTCTCGCTAATTATAATTGTAATTTAAACTCTTCAGCATAAATTTTTGTGCTAAATTTTTAATTTTAAATAAAATATTCATGTATATTGTTGCCATAACTCAAAACCTTGCGTAGACCCAGCTCATAAATAACATTTCCCTGGCTGTAAAATAAACCGTATACCCGAACCCCATCTTTTAAAATGCTCTAGGCAGACTCATGCAATCTTATGCGTGCTCCACTCGCTCCTACGTGCCTTACGTATCTTATACGTACGTACCCCACTCGCCCTTACATACCTTGCGTATCTCAAACGTACGTGCCAAACTCGTCCCTACGTGCCTTACTTATCTTACACGTACGTGCCCCACTGGCCCCCACGTGCCTTACGTATCTTATACGTGCTCCACTCGCCCCTACGTGCCTTGCGTATCTCAAGCGTACGTGCCGCACTCGCCCCTACGTGCCTTACTTATCTTACACGTACGTGCCCCCACTGGCCCCCTACGTGCCTTACTTATCTTACACGTACGTGCCCCCCACTGGCCCCTAGGTGCCTTACTTATCTTATACGTACGTACCCCATTCGCCCCTATATAGGTGCCTTACTTATCTTATACGTACGCACCCCACTCGCCCCTACGTGCCTTACTTATATCATACGTACGTACCCCACTTATCCCTCTTCACGAGGTCACTGCCTGCCTCTCACAATCTTCTTCAGTAACACAATCCTAACTTTCGATCATAGGTTGGATTGATTTACTTAAAGTATTAAATATTATCCCATAAATTTGGTTTGTTCGCATAGGGAATTAACTTTCGTCCGCGTAAAAAAACCTAACGCCACTTCTTGCTCCTACTAATTTTCCATGCATCTATGCAAACTACCATCAATTGGAGGATTATTTTTAATTAAATTTGAAATTTATTCATGTAACTGTGTTAGTTATTGCTTACTGAATCAAAATGCAAAAAAATAATACAAATTAATTTTTTTAATTACTTCCTGGAAATTTTGTTATGCAAATAATTTAATTGTTATGACTCTAGTGTGTATTTCTCATTATTCTTTCTCCCTGAAATTTTTCGCTGTGGTCCTCGACAACGGTCTCCTGCTGCTGTGTCATCGTCGTCTTCTCTACAATTGTCGACAGAAACTTCCATTGAAGTGGCACTAATATAACAAAGGAAACTATATTCTTTGAGAATCTTTATTCCTTATTCTTTGAACGGTAAAAATGGCGATATTTATGCGTCCTTGAATGAAAAATTCCGTTTGTCTCTGCACGGATCCGGATGATTGGCAAATATCGTTGCACGATGTCAATCATTACACGCAAACAAACGAATGATTGGCGAATGACGCATACAATGTGTGGTTCATTCTAACCTGACATCCGCACGGTTGGCGGATGGCGCTGTCATCTTTGATACCATCCACGGTTGGCTCTGTCATCTTTGATACCATCCACGGTTGGCTCTGTCATCTTTGATACCATCCACGGTTGGCTCTATCATCTTTGATACCATCCACGGTTGGCTCTGCCATCTTTGATACCATCCACGGTTGGCTCTGTCATCTTTGATACCATCCACGGTTGGCTCTGCCATCTTTGATACCATCCACTCCAATAACCGGGAGGATGGCGAAGCAGATGTTCTCACGAGTACCTGGATATCTTCACGGAGGCCACAGATCCGAACAAAGACCTTCTCAAGACCCCTTTTGGAGGGCGATATTGCGGAAAGATCTCGCCTCGACTGCGCATCTCATGGCACAAGACAATCCATATCGCCTTCTTCACCGACAATAATATCACTACGCCGGACCTATTTTCTGGCACCTACAAGTTCATTAATGATTGTGAGTTTGAATTTGCGAGCCTTGCAGTAATATTATAATTTCTGCGCTTACGTTTTTATTGGAGAATTATATGTTTTTATTACGTTTTTGGGTTTATTATTATTGTTATTATGTTTTTACTTATAATTGTAGAAAAATGTTTTCCGTGTTCCCATTGTAAACGAAGTAAATTATCATCCAATTAAAGTCACATATTAGACTATTAAATTATCGGTTATCATACTTTCCGGTTGCTTAAAAATATTTAAATTTGAAAATATCTTTATTTCTACCACAGCCAAATATTCCGTTGGAGTAAAAGCACCTGACCAAGACTGCGGCTTTGTGGTCAACGTGGACGTGAAGAAGCACGGGGAATTTTTATCCCCAACTTACCCCGGAGTTTACCCCAAGAACATCACCTGCTACTGGAAGTTCGTGGGCAAACACGATCAGAGAATCCGACTTGAGTTTCGTGACTTTGATCTCTTCTACGGTGGACCGCAGTGAGTGAACCTTAATCTTATACCTCAATAATATATTTCCTATCATTCTCTGATGGGCAGAGAGTGTATCTCAATCTTATACCTCAATGACAATCTACTCCCCATCATTCTGTCGTGCATGTTCAACCCAACGCTTACAAAGTTTCTTGAATTGCGTGGTTTTTTTTTGTTGACACTAACTTTACTTTAAAATATTTGCAATTATTACTCCTAATTAAATCATTTGCATTAGAAAATTGGTTTCCGTATAAATACTACGACTGTTCATATTTACTTTATGCGGTTAAAGTGATTACGTCTTCTATATTTTACGGTTGTGCGGACGAGACATCGATTGCAGTGCACGAATACCAGCTTGCGCGTGACTGATGGCGCTGTTGCGTGAGCCAGTGCATTGTAATCCCGCCTGCAGACCTCACACAAAATAAAATAGAATAAAAGCTCTTTCATTATTTATTCAGCTCTCTCGTATCACAAGTCAATAGATCTTTCGTAAACCATTGAATTCACTTTGGAAGCGGAATTTGTTTATTGGCATCGGAAAGCTTAGGTTGACCGTAATCTAGAATCGCCCTATTAGTGACTAATGTAACCTATAACATATAACTATTGAATTCAAATCCAATTTCAGTCCCTGTATAAGATTGAATAAAATATCATTTTGCAACGATTTTTTAATAGGAATTGCAAAAAAGAAGCCTATTGTGTGTTCCGAGTAATGTCGTTCAAACCTTCTGCTCAAATCTTTCATTGAGTCTTTAAACTTTTAAACCAGAGTTTCATTACTCCCCCTCGCCACAACATTTTTCCTTCCTGGAAACTCTATCATTGGAATAAACTAAGTTTTGTGATATTTTTAGCACAGCCTGTGACGCAGGCTTGGCGTCACTGCGCGCGCACTGTCGTCACAGTGATCGACGTACAGTGGCTTGCTCCGTTTTATTCAACAGCTTTAAAGCCCAAAAATTAGCTTCTTCTACCCTAAGAAAAACATATCGGTCATACATACCGGATAATAACATAGATCTCCCAAATAATAACCCACGAATAATAACCCACGTCGTAATACCCAGGTCAAAAAAAAAAGAGAGGACGTAGCACGGACATGTCGATTTGCGGAACCAAGCTGAATCAAAATGACCCATACGAGGGCAAAAATTGCAACAGTATTTGTACAAAGTCTCACTAAGTTTTCTGAATGCAGGGTTTGCTTGTCGATTCACGAAATATTTTATTAGGCGTTCACGCATGCTTTTATCTTCAACTCACTTTACTGAGACACGCAAGCGAACACAGACAATGTGTTAAGGTTCGAAGTTTTTTCATGTTATGTAAAGAATGCATAAAGTCAGTCATTGATGCATCGATGATCGAAGGCCTTGACATTGCATCACAATGTCAGCATTGTTTACGGCGCGTTCAAATGAGTGCAAATAATTGCAAGCTACCCTTTCAAATAAAGATGAATATGTGCAAACGATTGCAATCTATGCTATGAAATACGCGCTGATGATTCTACGAACTCTACACTTTGCATGTAACGTTTATCAAGATACGTAGCAATGCAACGATCAATAATCAATCAATCTTTTTATTATGCTAATTTTTACAGGTCGAACATTTTATGCAGTCACTATATAATACTTAGCAGCAGTTATTTCAAGAATGTATTTTTTTAGTTTAATGCCTACCTGAATTATCGCTCATTTCGCCGAGTGAGAAACGTACAGCTAAGTCAGAATGTCCCACGTATGCCAAATTTAACTGATAATAATTACATTTATTTCGTATATCAATAGCCCATTCGACCACCAAAATGAATGATAATAATCCATTTCTCTTCATGTTCCAGCAGCCCATTTGACCACCAAAATAATTGATATAAACAAATTTTTCATCATGTTATAGCTGCCCATTTGACCACCAAAATAATTGATATAAACAAATTTTTCATCATGTTATAGCTGCCCATTTGGAAACCTAAATAATTAATATAAATAAATTTCTCGCCATATTACAGCTGCCCATTTGACCACCTAAATAATTAATATAAACAAATTTCTCATTATGTTATAGCTGCTTATTTGACCACTAAAATGGTTGATATAAACAAATTTTTCATCTTTTTATAGCTGCCCATTGGAAAACCTAAATAATTAATATAAACAAATTTATCGTCATATTTCAGCTGCCCATTTGACCACGTAAAGATGTTCGATGGTGGAGACACGTTCGCGCCACTTATTGGCACGTACTGTGGACAACAGAGGAATCTGGTGGTGTTCAGCAGCAGCAGCTCGGTGTTGGTCACGTTCAGCACCCTATACCGTATCGCTGATACGCAAAACAGAGGCTTCCAGGGCATCTTTAACATCTCCGACAGCTACCTCAGACTCAGTGCGTATCCGAAAAGTTATTAGTTGAGTAACAATAAGTACAAAGGAGGTTATTTTCTACCTCAGTCTTAGTGCGTATCCGAAAAATTATCAGTTGAGTAACAATAAGTACAAAGGAGGGTATTTCTACCTCAGGCTTAGTTCGTATCCGAAAAATTATTAGTTAAGTAACAATAAGGTGAGATAGTCTTCTTCCTCACACTAAGTGCGTATTCACAAACTTATTAGTTCAGAAAAAAGGCAGAAACGAGATTGAATTGGATTCTAATTTAATTGTTAGTCTTTCTTGGGTGTTTTCTAAAAAGAAGAATCGATTTTAAATATTTTTTTTCTCATTCAATAATTAGCCATTTATAATAAATAACTTTGAATTAAGTCTTTTAATTCAATAGCATCGCTCACTTATTATTACTTTCTGTCGAGTACAGTAATGCATAATTTCATTACCCCCCGTAAAATTTGTAGAAGAAAAAACCCTTACATGTTGCCACTTAAAATAAAACTGTAATTTGCGGCTGTAATTGCTGAATCAATTCATCTTAATTTTTAAACTTGTCAAAATTTCTTGCAGACTTCATGCATCGCCTGTTGGTACGTCGTAAAAAATTTCGAGCCGGTTAATCTGGTTTTAATAAGTTTTTTTTAATTCCCTGATACTCGAGTCTACATAAGTAAAATTAATCAAGAGATAATTTTGGAAAATATTCCTGTGTACAAAATTATTAATAATTAGTCTACGAGTCGAAACAGAATTAAATGAACGAATATGTTACTAACCAATTTGGCTGCCCTCTCTCAAATTGAGTATAAACTTTGTGTAGAATTGTATTTAACACCTATTATTATTACAGAAAGGTAAACTAAAAATTAAGTAAATAATAACTAATAGGGATTTCAGGCAGGAATTATACGTTTCGCCTTCACGACTATGGTACAGTCAGCTTCGGTTAGCCATTTTGGGAACCAACATTGCGAGAAGGAGGTTTTTCCATACAACCCTACGTGCTGCTTGCGAACATCTTGAGATTAGAAGGCAGGGCGTGAAGCTTATTTTCCATCCGACCGAGTCAACCTTGTATCTCACGAACTGTGCTATGGCTAATATAATTACAAAGTTTAAAATCGAAAATTACCATTTCTTTCACACCAGTTAATCAATTGTTACGAGCATTTTTTTAACATATCGACTAAAATCTACCTTACGAGAGGAGATAAAATCTACCCTATCCTTTGCTATAAAAACGTTTGATAAACATTGAATAAATACCAGAACACACCAATTGGACTATAAAACAATTGCAGACAGTTTTTGCAGACTATTTGGTGTAAAGCTCGTCGCTCGCTCATAAAGCTTGTCCCTCTTCTATTGTTCGGGAAAATTCTCATGCAGCTCCTGAGGAATGGATTGTGGCGGGAGACTTTCTTGGCTCCACGCCACGGCTCTGCTCCAGCAGTTTCGGAACCGCGCTAGCAGTATTTTCACGCCGTATCTTCCAGTACATTTTCAAGCAGTATTTTCACGCCGTATTTTCCAGTACATTTCAACAGTATTTTTACGCCGTATTTTCCAGTACATTTCAGCAGTATTTTCACGCCGTATTTTCCAGTATATTTCAACAGTATTTTTCAAGCATTATTTTCACGTCAACGCGACAACGTCGGTTTGAAAATATTTAAAGCCAGTAATAACGGTTGTAGACGGCTTAAAGCTCAATAGTGCCTTAAAACGGCTTAAATCGTGCCATAATGGCTTAAAATCTCTAGTGAAATATTACTTTTTTCCCCTGAATTGGCCGATAATCACTTTAACTTCAGGTGGTAAGATCAATAGATTGCTTTAACCGCAAATTAAACAGGAACTAAAAACGAATAAAGTACCAAAAATTCAACTGTTATTTGGTTGAGAACGTTTCGGAGAAAAGCAAGCTCGATCATCTTTAGAAATCACCGTATTGTGGTGAACGACAACCGACCTACACCTATCACTCGAATTATTTTTTGCTCTGCAATAAAAATCTAATGAATCATAATGACGTAAACTCGTAATATTATTTGTCAATGTGCAATTTATCAATATGCAATTTATCAGTTGGTTAAAATAATTTGGCTTAGTTTCGAAAAAGGTGACTAAACACATTTTCAACGTGGACGTATTTGACAGCTAAAAACGATCAACGTTAATATATATAGCCAACACTTAACGACAGAGAACCGCAGTATTATGAGCTATGAGCAGCCGAGCCTCCATATCTCATTAGACAATTGATGTTTTAACATAAAAAATAAACCATAACTTTCTCCGCTGCCATTCCAGTACTCGAGAATAGCTCATGAAATTTTAGCGAATGCGAGAATGCTGAGATTAATGTATTTTTTATTTTATTTAGTCGAGACATTTTTTAAACTTGCCGGTTATCTCTTAGACGAATTTGAATAATGTTAATACCAATTCGTTTACATTACAGTTTTAGTTTACATTACATTTTGTTTTACATTACAGTTTACAAACGAGTTTTAGATCATATCATACGAAAGTACAAAAATGAGAATTGGACGTTTGTGTGCTGAAATACAGTCTCTTGGGGCTAGAGTTAATGCAAAATTTAAAATGTAATTTTTTCGGTTTTTATTTTACGGTGCTTCAAACCAGGACGCAGCAAATAAGTTGTTTGGAAGGCTACAAATAAAATTATTGTTCTTTGAGCTTTACTAGCCTTGCTCTTAAGGTTCTACTTTTAAAAAATTCATTGATCCACGTAGTTGAGAAAATAAATTTTGCCATAGTCCAATGATATTGTTTGCTTAAATAAGCCCATAATCCTAAAAAATGAAATCTAATTTACCTGCCGTTGCGTTGTTGAAATCAGTCTACGGACAATACTCCTAAGATTCAAATATATTCGGAGACCCGAATCGGAAAACTAAAATTAAGTTTGAATCTACGAACTGAATGGAACAGTATTTCTAACATTTTTATGCATATAAATTTAACTGGAATTTGGTTCATTACGATAATTCTATATGACTGGCACATCTAAGACTCAACAGAAACATCTTAATTAGGAAATGCATTTTGATTATATATGGCAAGTAATGAGCTTATATACAATTAATCTCTTGTAGCTAATTACAGGCGAATGATTTATTTAATGGATTAATGTAATTTTTCCTACAGGTTATTGTGAATCGTAGTGCTTAAGCTACAGCAACATTTAAAATGCAAAACTACCGCAAAACTGAACGTGTCATGTAACTTCACATCAAGAGTGTCGCGTTGCTTCGCTTTAAACTATTTTATATTATTTATCCCAATTAAAACTTGAAGGTTTCCGCTTACTTTTGAAAATAAGGTGCTTCTTTTTAAATAACTAAGGCAGTAACTTACTTCCCGACAATAAACGACAATTTTTTTAACGAGCCATACTGTATTAGGCTTTCCAAGTAACCCATCTCTCATCAGATCTAAATAATAAAAAATGTTGGACTTCTCCATCATGGGTACTCTATTTCGTATTTCAGTTGGTGCCTAAATTCGAGTTCTTTTTTCAATCTCATTAATACTGTCGAGTTAATTTGACTCAACGGGTTTTCTGCCTTACTGTTCATTAGATGGGGAGGTAATCAGGTCTGCTTCGCTGACTCAGCGCGATTGTCTTTGAAAGTTTTAGAAACTTCACTCTGGGTTTCATGTGTCAAACTTACAGTAATGCTGTTTTTGGAAGAGAAGTTTGTAAACGGCCTCTCAACACCGTTTCAAGTCTGCTAGACTTTACCAGAGTACAATTTAGGAAATACAGTTTTGGCTTCAACAAATTTTTTGTGTTTTTATATTCATAATGACAAAAGAAGTAAAGAATCGAATTTATATATGCTCGCATAAAATGTAGGACTTTTTGATCATTTTGAAAATAATCGTTTCTATTTTTCCTTAATTTTTCATCTATTTTTAAGAAAACTCGATCGAATAGAATGAAAATGAATTCAAATTCATGCTTAATGTTTCACCTTTCTAAATGTTTCAACCTAAATGCGATTACCAATTCTGTAAATGTGACTCATAATGAACTAAACATATAATGATGAGAAATAATACAAAATCTTGTTATTTGTAGCTTGATTTTCTTATTTTCAGATTTCATCAACGAGCACGACGCAGAACACATCAGGGGCACAGAGTGCGACCAACGCATCCTGAGCAAACGGACCAGCAACGGAACTGTGTTCAGCCCCAACTACCCCTACCTCTACCTGCCCAACATAGTATGCAGGTGCTGATCAGCTATCTAAATCTTATGCATTATAAAACGTCGCACCGACTACTTTTACCTTTATCTACCTAAAATCGTATGCAGGTGCTGATCAGCTTTAATAGTCCTTCTAAATCTCACACATTATAAATCTTCGCACAAACTGCCCCTACCTCTACCTAGCCAACATTGTGTGCATGTGCTGATCAGCTTTAACAGCCCTTCAAAATCTCATACATTATAAATCTTCGCACAAACTACCTAGCCAACATTGTATGCAGGTGCTGATCAGCTATTTAACAGTCCTTCTAAATCTCATACATCATCAATCTTTGCATCAACAACCTGTACCTCTTCCTACCCAACATCGTATGCAGATGCTTATCAGCTTTAATAGGCCTTCGGAGTCTTATCCTCGGTATGTTCAACCTAAATTTTTATGAACACTATAGCACTAATCACCTCTTCCTTTACCTACCCAACATCCTTTGCAAGTACAGCTTTCTTCCAGAATATACTTTGAGTCTATTTCAGGGTAATTTCCACCAACAACATTTTTCGAGACCTAGAACAGCATAGCTTTAATTCATTTTGTATCATATTATTATCTAATTCAGATCGTTACGTTTTTCGGACACTTTACATACACGTACAGGCATGGAGGTAGTCATGGACTAGAATAATAAAAACTCATTTAAAATGTAATTGTATCGCTCATGGTGCCTGCATGAATTTCATGTGGTAATAATTTCACATGCCATGAATTTATTCTGACGTACTAACAATAAATGGTCAAATGAGAAAAGCATGAAGAAATTTTAACCAGAACCATTTCGAAAACTTTCAAAATTTCCACAATTTTAAAATAAATAAATTAAAACTGCTGATGTTTACCAGAATTTCTGGAAAACATATATGAACTTTCAGATACTTCATTTACGGGCTGCAAGATTCTCAGAACCTGGAACGTGTCCGTTTGGAGTTCTTCGATCGTTTCGACATTCCTGCCACGCCGAAAAGCGGCAAAAAGTGAGTTAGAGTGATATATATATTCTGCAATTCATGTAGTTAGATAACTTCTTTCACTCTATCTCATTATTGTAATAAGTCATCCATATATGATAACGTCTATTACTCATCTTTTTTTTTGCGTGAATGATATCGCAATGTTGATGTTTTCGAGCCATAAAGAAAAGCTGTTAAAATTCTTTTTGCACTCGAAGTTTTGAATATTTTATTGGCGGTCTTTGTTCATTTCTAAGTAGAAGTACTACATTAGTTGACAGGTTAAGTGTAGTTAATAGATCGCGTCAAGCGAAAGTTAGGGCGAGAGACCTTATAGACATATATATAAATATTTTTGAAAGAAATTGTGGACAAATAAATCGCACTTGAACTAAATCGTGAACAATTTCTCAATGAGAGTGTGGTTTCGTTCATTTTTACTCGTACTTAGAATTTTTGGGCTATATCAGCAAGCAAACTTATTTTGAATCAGGCTCAAAGTTGTTTTTAAAAACCAACAGAACCTCCGTTATCTGGTTCCGGCTAATGAAAAATATGTTAATCACAATGATTGGGGTAATTGCTTTTTCGGTTGTATTTACATGCTCACCAGTTACTATTTACTTTATAATCAGCATATAGCTAATACGTGCTGATAGTTGTACTTTATTTGTTTCTTTCTAATTTTGTTAAGTATACTCGCGTGTCAATTGGGAACACCGAATAAGAAGAAATATTTATGTTTATTTGTTTCTAAATTTAACTCTTGTTACGGTAACCAATTTAGTTTAAGTACTTAAATTTGAAGAAAAATTCAGTATTCACGATAGTGAATTAAGCTGGGTTACCTTCACAGATTTTCTTTCAGCAAATGATGACTTTAATTTTACTGTTCTTTCTTATAATTTCCAGTGTTCAGACGACGGGGTTTGTATATTGTGTTGTGAACGTTTTGCTCATTTGATGTACTACCTTCCATGCTTGTTTCTGTGTTTTTGGTTCAACGTTTAGCCGCGATGTCCTACGAAAATTGAATAAACCTAACAAGCCTGTACAAAAGCCTACTAACCAGAGCATAACTCACGCTGATTTTAATTTAAAAGAAAAACTGAATAGCTGGAAATACCAAATTGAACAAAAAATAGTCTTTAAATTTAAAATTTTTCTGATTTTTATGCTCGAGGATTTTTAGGTTAACATATATTAGGTGCAGCTGTTTCTTCAGCGCAAATAACTTATTTTAAGACTAAGTTACAAATAACTTTAAAACTATCCTTAAATAAGTATTGCAAATTACTTCGCACTTACTTACAGACATAAATGATTTTTACTGTTTAATTTTACTGTTTAATTAATTAATTATTATATATCAGATAGTAATTGTTGGTGTTAAAATACAAATTGGGTGAAATGACTGCATAACGTTTTCTGCGCTACCAGTTGTATACTATTTAGCAGAATAAAACATCCTTGAACCAATCCCAAAATTAAAAAATGCAAATAAAAATCTTCTATTTTTGAAGCGGATAACTGTTATAAAATAGGTTTTATCACGGGTGAAACATGCCTCAGGCGGCTGTAAAAGAGCGACCAAGGCACGATATAATGTCATTCCCATATACACCTGATAAGTTTTTCGTTATTAAAATGTATAGTTGAATTAAGTAGAAAGTTACCGCAATCACCCTGATAATTTATGTTGATGGATTTAACTGATAACAAGTATTATTAGCTAATATATAAAGCTGAGGGAGGTATACATGGAACTGTCTACTTCCATGTTCGATACAAGTTTAAACTCCTCATGAAAAAATCGTTTAAATTATTTTCAAATGATAATTTGAAATTTACTTAAAATCATAAAAGTCTTGAATAATAATGCATATGTAAATTATCATAATAGCCCGAATGTTATACTGTATATTCACCCTGCGCTCAGCACGACGGGCGGTTCATGTTTTCCCTCGAATATATTATGCCCTTTGTTTTAATTAGATTCACGCTTGCTGTCAGAATAGGATTTATAGCGCGCACTTGTAAGAAAAAGCACACTGGATCTTTAAATTATTGAACTGAAGTCCACCAAAATTGTAAAAGAGAAGAAAACGTTAATTAAATTCACCAAATCTTTAATGTAAGCGTTTTCATCCGAGATGTGGTGAATTTATTTGTCGCTTTCTTTGTTTTTAAGTTTTCGGTGAACCTGCGATTCGAACTGAAGGTGATATGCAACCCATCTCATTAATTTACGACCTGCAACATTATCAGCATCACCCCTCCAGCATGACATATGGCCTTCATAGCGTGTTATCTTTTGTTGCAGTCTTCGTTCTGATATTTTAATTTTTAATTTTGCATGTATATGAAACGTGCAAGCGCAATTGATTTGTTTCATGGTGAAGGGATTTTGTGAGGGATTGATGTATGGGTGTGTCCACTGAACGTATCAATAGAAATAAGATTATTCCAGTAATATGAAATGTAGTTATAATGATATCAGTTATTCAGCTGATTGATTGATTATCCAGCACACCATTTTACAAGCTTGATGGTCAGTATGAAACTATTGTTGTTAGTGAAACATTTGCTTATATAAATTAAGAATTTTAGGAGGTGTCTAGCATTATTTTTATTAAGTTTACCCATTTATTTAGTTAATTTCAATTTTTATTTCATATGAGCATCTACATGACACGAAGAGTCTGTCGTTGTAAGGCTTTCATCGTCTTCCCGCCCATCCCCATTCCGTATGATATTGTACAATGTTTTAAATGCAATGGCCCATTTCGAGCTTCATTTGCTGAATGTTAATATATGAATCAATTCTATGCTAATCATCATTAATTCATTTGAGTTGCAACGTTTTCCGTTTATTTGCTTATCATTCCATCCATTATCATAATTTGTTTAGCATGGCATTATTTCAGTATTTTTTCATGAATTATTATTTATGGTTAATCATTATTCTGATTTTTTTCTTCAACAGTAATTTGTTTCTAATTTGCACAAGCATTGTTCAGTCTGATTTGTGCTAATTGTGTTTTATTTACTCGGGCTTGACACATTGTCGGCTTTTGCCTTGGACAAGATGTACTTGTGTGTATGAATATAATGATTCTCTTGTACTTGAGTTTGTATGGTGTTGAAGTCATAACGATTCAGCGGGAATTTTCAGACGTACGTATCACCGCAAACATCAACGCCTGTTTTGTTGGTACAGTTCGAAGTCAATGGGCCTGTAACGGCTCAGCATGCTCATCTAACTCATATTATACATTGGTTTTAAAAAACTGTCCGCAGTCAAGTTATTCCAAAGAAACTCAGTTCATGAAACGAGTTTATTAAAAAAAAATCTAGTACAATGTAATCTCGAATTATTACAATAAAATCTACCCATCGAAAACGAGGTTTTTATATGACTAGTAAAATTTTTCTTTAAGAAAACGTTAGCCAGAAATTTTTTCGAAAATCAGCCTGATTCTGAAGTCTGAGCTTCATCTCCGCAGAAACTTAATTTTGACATTTTCACAGCTGCACTGATGGCTATCTTCGCGTTTACCTTCGTGGCCAAGAAGTGCGAAGCGAATACGACAAGCCTGACCATGAATATTGTGGTCAAACATTACCACACAGCGTCGTCGCCTTAGGTCCCAGATTACTAATGGTTTTCAGCAGCGGCAAGACAACTGGCACAGGATTCAAAGCTCATTACAAGTTTGAAACAGGTTAGTTATTCGACACGGGTTTGACAGCAGATTAGTTATTCGACACGGGTTTGGCAACAGATTAGTTATTCGATACGGTTTTGACAACAGATTAGTTATTCGACACGGGTTTGACAACAGGTTAGTTATTCGACACGGGTTTGACAACTGGTTAGTTATTGACACGAGTTTGACAACTGTTAAGTTATTCGACACGGGTTTGACAAAAGGTTAGTTATTCGACACGGGTTTGTCAACAAGTTAGTTATTCGACACGGATTTGACAACAGGTTAGTTTTTTGACACCGGTATGACAACAGTGCAGTTATTCGACTCAGGTTTCAATCATGTAAGATATCCGACATGGATTTGACCCGCAAATACAATGTGTTTTATTTTGAGATCTGTTAATTGACGATGTCTTAGGAGGTAATTGAAATGGGCTCCTGAGCAATGACAATGATTCATAAAGCTTAAGAATTCTTCTTTAAAACCTAGAATATTATGTGTGGCCGACTTCACTTAAATTGTATGATCCAGTTTTTTCGCAACCAAATTGTTACCTGTCTCATCTCGAACAAATTTTTGCAGTCACGTATTAATCAAAATGTTGCCAATCGCCTTTTGATTCAATTGGTTCTATGCTCGCTTGTACCGAATTTTATTCGCTCTTATATGAGCTAATTTTTGTTGATCTCAATTATTCATCGCCAGAGTACAAGATCCCCGGGACAGCCTCGCCTGATGGCCGGTGCGTGTTCTCGTACTTGAGTTCAAGCCAAAAGTCAGGCACGTTCAATTCGCCCCGCCACCCGTCGAATTACCCATCGAATACCACATGCGAATTCACTTTCAAGCCAGCGCACGATGAGGTCGTCGAGATCGTCTTCGTGACGTTCAAGATCAGGAATGATAACCCGGGCACTGGCGTTGGGTAGGTCATCGTAAGCTCCTGCTCTGAGATTTTTACATGGAATGGCATTCGAGTTTACCAGCACTCGATATGTCATGATAATTATTTGATATTATCATACATTAAAAACTTGGAAACCCACCAATGATTAGCATGTTCATTGAAAGGTTTGTTAAAAATTTCTTTGAGTTTATCAGCTCAGTTTTCTTGTCTTTTGTTCGACAGAGTGCACCGCTGTCAAGAAGACTGGATGGAGCTTTTTAACATTTACAGGCCTCGATACTCGGAAAAAGAGAGAGAAGTCCTCAAAGGCAGGTATGGATTCCAATTAGAGAAAGCTATAGTGCAAATTTTGCTATTAAAATGTAGTTTTTAACGTCTGAAAAACTGAGTCGCATAGGAGCATAGTTTTACGGAAATATCTTGTATATTTAATAGCTCTGCAAGGTTAAAAATTTCAGACAAAAGGGTTAGGAATACAGTGAGAGTATGGTACACAATTTTGCTTGTTTGTTTCATGCATGAAATGCAAACCTAACGAAAAGTTTCTAGATGATCCATAAATGCCACTCCCACAAGCAATCTTAACTCTTAACAGGAGCATTCCATTAAAAACGATTCCAATTCAGGACACCATGAGTCAGAGCAACAAAATCATAGAATTTAGTTTCCATTATTTACTTCTTTGGAGGTAAACAATTCTGTGTCAGATACTGCGGAGAGACTGCCCCCGGTCCGACGCAGAGCGAGCGCGAAGCTGTGGGACTGCGAGTGGTACTCCACACCGACCACTCGGGCGTTTACAGCGGCTTCGACGCCATCTATATCTTCAAAAAGAAAGAGGAAACCTTTGGTGGTGGGTTTAATTCGTGATGCGGTGGGTTGGCGGGTGGTTCTATACGGGCGATTACGGCTGCTGCGACGTATATCTTCAAGGAGAATGAGGAAACCTTTGGTGGTGTGTTTAGTTTGTGAGGCGGTAGGGTGGTGGATCGTTCTACAGTCTACACACAGATCACTCGGGTGTTTACAACGGCTGGCTTCGACGCCATCTATATGACTATATCTTCAAGAAGAGAGGAAACCTTTGGTGTTGGGTGTAGTTTATGAGGCGGTGGATTGGAGGGTCATTCTACACACTGATCACTCGGGTGTTTACAGCTGCTTTGACGCCATCCATGTCTTCAAATAGAAAAAGGAGACTTTTAATGTTGAATGTAATCAGTATAAATTTTTCGTTGCACAATGAACCTCAGAAAACTTGAAAATGTATTAAGTTGAAAAAAATTTCCTGGACTAACATAATGTAGGAACTTAGTAAATGTTAGAGTAAGAGAGACGAAAAATAATATAACTCATTCAATAGATTAACTTCCATTGAGTTTTGCAACTGGATTTGAGGAGAGATAAGGAGCGAATAAACAATTCGCTTTTATGGTTAGGCTATTTCCCTCAAATGAACAAACACTGCAAAATGAATTAGGATTTCAAAACTGGCGATAAATTTTGAGTGCTGCACAGGTTTGTTGACCACACAGGTATTTTTCACACTTATGAAAGTAAAAAGAATCGATTTTATGAAAAGTTTCTGTCATCGTCAGCGCAATATCTAAAAAAAACTTTTTGTTGCTGCTTACTAAACCTAAATTTTATACAAAATTCACTCAAATGCTTCGAAAAGAGTAATATTCATACTTATTTATATTCTATAGTGTGTGGGGGGAACATTACCGAATCTGAGTCAGGCGAGCTGCTGTCTCCTAACTTCCCCGAGAATTACGGAGCGCCCGACAAGACGGACTCGTCTTACTGTGATTGGTACATCCAAGTCCGACCAGGCTACAAGGTTCTACTCTGGTTCCAGTCTTTCGCTGTTGAAGGAAATCCAGAAGGTCAGATATTTTCATGGATATTTTTATTCATGTTTCTGTAAGCAATACGCACATGTAATTAAGTACGACCAGGCTAAAACGCCCTACTATGGTTCCCGTCTTTTGCTCTTAAAGAAAATCCATTCGCTAAGATATTATGCGGGCTCTCATTTTCGTTACAAATTAACGTTAATTTCATAATATGTTTTTAAAGAAGTTAAATAAGACAATGGAATGCTGATAGAGGTAAACCTCCTGCAATATTAAAACTAATGATACTCATTATTATATCGATGAACGTACTCAAGGGGAGGCCTCGCCCAAGAGCAAATATATCAACTGGATAACACAACTGACAAAAATGAATATACGTTTATCTTAAATTAGCTGCGTTCAACCTTATGCTGCTCTACCTGTGTGGTCTGGAAACACGAGCACGATATACCGGTGGACATGTGTAATCTGTATGAATTCGCTCATGTTTTATAACTTTCAAACACTAGAATTTTCAATGCTTTATATGTAATACAGAGCGGGGCTGTCCCGCGGCCGCGGTGCGTGTATGGAAACACGAGGACGACATACCGGTGGACATGTGCGGAGACGCCCTGCCGTCTGACCAAATCCAAATACTGTCCCAAGGCTCGGTGCTCAGGATGACATTCCTGGCTGCGGCCAGGGCTGTCGGTGCTAAAGGATTCAAGGCCATCTGGACTGAAGTGCTGGATAGTATGTGCCGTAACGATAATTGTATCCGAACTTTTCCGATATCAAGATTACATAATTAAGATTTCGATCATTTCCACTGAATATTTGTTATGTTGGGACAACTGCATTTGTGTTAAAATTATCGTTTCATTTAAATTTGACATGAATTGGAGATAGAAAAGGATCTGATGGAAAGCAAGTTCATAAATTCACAACTTGTTCGTTTCAGGTCCGCAGTGCAACCAATTCCTGTGCAAGTCAACTAACTTCTGCATTCCGCGTTCCCTTCACTGCGACGGCGTGGCGAACTGCGGCCTCAGCGACTTTTCCGACGAGGAGCGATGTAAGTTAGGTGCATTTTAAAAATTCTAGGCATCACCTGTTTCTCGGCATCATATAGGATTGGTTCCATATTGTTTACCTTAAACATATGTTCTTTTCAAACGCCCCCTAAACTGGAATAAGGCGTGAGCGTGGTATTTTACCTTGAACGTACTGTATATGCATTGAACAAATATTTTATTTCTATTTGCCGTTAACATGGTCTGTCTTCGTCTTCTGAACAGGCGACAAGGCGCGCGGCGTTAGTCTGGTGATGCTGACCAGCATCGTGCTGGGCGTGTCGTCCTCCGTGACCCTAGTCGTCTGTCTCTGGTGCCAGAAGCGCAAGCTTAGCAAGAAAAAGGAGAACTCAATGGCTCATGTTCACGCATATGAAAAAGGCGCACGTTTCGCTGCAATGGATATTGTAAGATTGACAGTAAACTCTAGAAACTTTTCTAAATGGCCTAATAGAGACAACGCTATCACGCGTTTTCACTATTTGGTCCTCTTCTAAGACGTTTCGTCTTCAGCTCCAGTTCATTAATTTTACGACAAGCTATTAAACTATATAATCTCACTGTTTCAGTGACTGAAAATCAATTAGGATTCTTCAATTGGATTTGAATGCTGTTACAATTGCAGTTGTGGAAATTATACGTCAATTTCTATTATACAAAATAATGAAATGGTCATTCCCTAAACAATACCTTTTCTGGAAAACATTTTGCAATCGACATGCTGGACTACCCCAGGGGGACCGGAGTGTGTCGCCTGTGATAGGCACCCGTAAGGCAACTCACCACCTGAGCCACGCCTCCCTGCGTATGGAGGGCGTGGTATGAGACCACGCCCAACATTCCCCCACACAGCGTCCCGCTACCGCCATCGGAGGCCACGCCTCCCCCCGCGGCAGTGTTGGTAGCGCACTCATGGGGGGTGTTGGGCAACACAGTCGATCCGGCCATGTTACGCCTACCTCAGGTACATTAATTAAGTGATAGGATAAGCGAAAAAACATAGAACCAGGTAGTCTGTAAGTACCAACGAATGCGATATGTGTTGCTGCAACGTATCTGGCAGAGATATTTAACTGACCAAGGATCTTTTTTTTCCGCGACAACATTGTAATTTCAGTCTCACATTTTCGTGCATACGGTTCTCGTTCATCAAAAATGATCCGATTTGATTCAAATACTAATTAAAATGAAAACATATAAGTTGCACACTTGTCTGCTCCTATCCACGTAATGTGTTTAAAATTGTGTTCTGAAGGAGGCCGCCGTGTTGAATACAACGACTTTGGCGAGGTGGTGAACTCACGCCCGCACACTCCGGGCTTGACGCAGACAACGCACACCCAGACTCCCATGCTGAACCAGATCCAAGAAGACCACTACATGCATCACATGCAGCAACAAGAAGACCGTCTGCTTCACCTCCTGCATCACGACATGGGCCATGGCCTGCAAGACGAAGACATGATTCACCATCACCACTTACAGCCACGCGACATCGATGCGGACGATGCCGACCAGATGCAGCAGGATGACTACAACGAAGAAGATATTCAAGAAGAGCCGTTGGGGTTTACATCCTCAGCTTCTAAGGATCCGCTCATGTGGTAAAGTGGCGTATTCTTGGAAGAATGCTGCGGTTGTCTTTCGGTGTTCATCAATTGAAATGACACGATTGTCACTCGACCGACTTGTCCCTTGTATGGAATGTCACTTGAAACAAATGCCACTCGAGACTAACGTGGTTCAATCAGAATCAAAATTGTTGAACTGTATTAGCGAATTATGTATGATAGAAACATTGATTACATTTTAGTCAAGCATAAACTGCATAAAGCTTATCCCACAGACATGCATCACTTGCATGGCTCTGTTGGAAAGCTTCTCTAAAAAATGTTCGTAGCCTAACTTTTTTACAACCCACCTAATTCATAAAAACAACTTCAGAGTTATTGAAGGACTATATTGTTGAGCAACACGAACGTTAATTGAGTATGTTGCAGAGTATAGAGTTCTACTTTTATAATTCATCTTATAACGAACATGTGAATATGGTAGTGATACTTAGAACGGAAAATGTTCTACTAGTGGAGATAGTTTGCGATTGTTACTCGCAAGTTTCCTTAGAACAGTTACTCCATTTTTGGCCAGGCATCCATCCAAAGTCACGTAGTCGTTACTATACTACGTATGCCTCAAGCTCTCAAACATGGTCACCTTCTCTTTCTCCAGTGCGATCGCAGTTTGCATTTACATATGCTGAGTAACAGAATTTTATCTATTATTCAGTCGAGGTTTTTGCATGCATCAGACTCCATCAGGTAGGACGCAGTTTCATAGATTTAGAATTGAAAGAGCAACTTCAAAGCCCTCTCTCCGTTGGTCGATCTCAACTGAAAGTGCAAAATTACACAGTCAGCTTTTTTCACCGTACGTATTACCATGAGAGAAACTTTATTATAAGCTGCGACTAATAATTATAATTTAAGAAAACTTCAACGTCTCTTTGTGAACACACTTGTACACAGTTTCAAATCGTAGAAAGAAGACTAAATTAAGAGTTATTTTGTTCATTAATAGCTAAATTGCATAATCTCAGTTATCTATTCATCAGGGGAGTTAAATTTCTCGCGAATCACTTTGGGATTTGTTTTGGATTTGGTGCATAATAATTGCATTATAACGAGTATTTATGATGGAAGCACATTTGAACTTGCCATGGGTACTCCATCTTGACTTGCATGATAATCCATTGTATATCCTAATAACCGTCAATCACTATCATATATTTTATATTAATGAGCTGCAGTAGCCGCTATTTAAGACCTGCGTACTCTGGTCAGTCTGTATTTTCATCACTGCTTTCGTGTGGCCTGCAAGCTGTAATGTAACGGCTTGCTCTCCTATGTATGTCTTAATTATATGATTTAAGGTGGAGCGTTAAGAAATAAGATCTCTTATTTAGTTATAATCGAGCTTCAGATGGGACTATAATCTCAGTGCTTTGCAGAAAGGCTTATGAAGTGTTTATATAAATCGTAATCATTTAGAGTCTGCAATTGAGGCACAGAAAACATTTTTGTGCACTCGCTAATTCATCCTACAATCTATACTCCCTTGTCTGACATTGTACTGATTTGAAGATTACTTTTAGTACTGTGAAAAATTGAGTGTGAACTCGGATAATACAAGTTCAGAATAATTGCTGAACTAAATAGTTTCTCAACAATTATATAAATTAATCTAAGCTAATAATAATATTCTAGAGTCTCTTCCACGATGAAAAAGTTCCTATGTACCAGTGTATCCGTTTCTGTTCAGATTGTTTGTCTATCAAAGAAGCAGCGAGCCACCATTTCAAAGCGCTTTTTTTTGTTTAGCTTGCTGAATTGCGTTTTAGCTTGCCGGAATTAGAATAATTTATCTAGGAACAGTATTTCAAAAAATGAACTCGATTGACAAAATATTCAACGACCTGATCCAAGTCACCAAGTTTACCTTCTCCTGATTCGAAGCGCGTAAAAATAGGTAGTAGACAACGGTAATAACTACGCATTACAAATGATACTAATTAAAATAATTTCCCATTTTTCTTGTCAATAATATTCTAATCTGCATAAATTTGAAGAAAAAATGCGAGAGATATGACGTGTTAATCGTTCGACTCAAGCCTGGACCCTCCAGAGACATCGAAAACAGTATTTCTGGTTGATTTTAGCAGTACCCAGGAAGTATTATTTGAAAATTAAATGATTATTTCCCCTTCGTTGTGATGAATAAATGAGAAAAAAACATTCGGTTTGCGTATTGTATATGTATTAAAAATGTTTAGACATCTATCGAGATGTGCATAGTCGTGAATTTTGATAGTATGAAACGAAAAAAAAATGTTTACCTGCCACTCTGAAAATTCGTGTGGAAGCGAAAAATTGCGTGCTCAATATCATTTAGAGTTTAAGCCCTGTGTCGCCTTTGGCGGGATGTATATAGGCAGTAATTATTGTAGCTTAGAGAGAATACAACACGCTTTATAGTTGTTACGAGATATTTACGGTGTGACTCCGCGCTAGAGAGATAAACCAGCGAGGTGGTATACGTCGCTACTAGTACGGCCTTTTCAACCGACAAGCCAACCTAATCTGAACAGGCAGCGAAATTCAGGTATAAACTTGGTTTCAACGGCCGGATGCCTACATATATTTCTCAAAGAAAGAAAGCTCTGTCTCTAGAAGTTAGATGGTTATGCAATCTAAACAATCTGCGTATGTCTGTCAATCAGATTTATGTCCTAAGCAAAGCCTGCTTCCGTTTTCAATCCTCGGTCGAGATAGAAGGAAGTCCAGTAATCAGTATATAGTCACTATAGTGTAACGATATCGACACGATTGCCTCTTCAAAATTCATTGCGCTTGACCGTACTACTAAAACATTATTATTGTTGAACAAATTCAAGCGTTTGAATAAAAAGAGCAACATTCAACTTATTTAAAGTGTTTTTTAGTTGCGACGTACTTTCTTAGCATATAAGTATCCATCTCACTTGCTTCCCATGCCATGTCTTGTCAGCCACTTTGCTTCGACTTCTACCTAATCAACGGCGCCAATCTCATCTCTTGGTATACACGCTTTGACTTCGTTACCCGTACTATGATAACTTCCATAGAAAAATGTACATTCTTAAGAAAGCTATAAAGGGTATACATTTAAATGTATTTATTTATAAATTTTAAATTAGTGCAGAGATTTAAAGAAAATTCGTGTCATCGTCCAACGCTACGGTGCTTACAAATTAATTACTTAAAGCCTGAAGACCTTGCTCGGTGGTGTTCTGTCCCGTGTTTTAAGTTCGTAATTTGAAGTTTTCGAGAAGCTTCAAAAAGTACTTGAATCTAAACCAACTACCAAGATATGTCCAGCATGTTGGCGTTAGAATGCAACTCTGTTCATCTATATTTTTATTCGTCTGTCCCTCCTATCATCCCTAAACCACTTTACGAGCTGATACGTATTCAATTAAATCATTTCTCTATTTGGAAAAAGATGTTTCATTCTCATCCTCTCATAACTACAATGACAATCAATCATCTTCATAGAAAAATAAGGAATATGAATGATACAAAAACAAGATATTACTAAAAGTAGGCATGAACAGCAAATGAAACACCCAGTGATGATTTTGTTCTACACTACTTTCTGTCTCAAATTCGACCATCTCATTAGTTTAGGAATAAATAGAAACTTATTAATTCATCCTCACTCGAAGAAAACAAATTTATCTCCTAGCGACGGCAATTTAGGATAAGAATATACGCCTTTGAGCTTCATGTTTTATACAAACGTGCGTGAGAAAATCTAAATAAACACGTAAATAAATCATTTTAAGAAGTAAAACCAAGCAACAACTTAAAACATCCTAACTTTTCGCCAATTAAATTTATCATTTTAGAAGAGGCCATTCCCGAATCTGCAATCGACACACTGGTTCCAGAAATTTTTTTAAGCATGTACTACTTGGCAGCACCGTTAAGTAATTTGTCATTAATAATACTTAATTTATTAGACGCAAATTTTCAACACTAGTACGTATCATTTTGTCCCAACTGAATTGGTACTGGTCAGCGCATCGAGATAACGTACCGTTTGAGTTAACGATGAGCTGCTGAGACCATAATTCAAGCATTTGGCAACAGCAGTAGATGACTTCCGGATTATCTACCGCTTGACTAAACTTTTTCTGAAGTGAGAAATAATCAAGGAACTATCGATGAATACATCTTTAAATATTCGCATACCACCTGTAAATCCCTCACGCACCAGTGTAGATACGCCTATTCCAGTTTAGGACCCACTGTCAGTGTTTGATGGTTAACACTAAAAGATCAAGCCATCGGGGCATTAAAAGATCAAGATAACTTCAGAACTTTTTGTCACATCAAGCACTTAACAACCCAGAAGCAGCAACTTTGAAGGCGACGCTTCGATTATCTTATTGTTATTGGGGTAAAGCGACGCGTGAAAAGCATTTCTCATGACAAGCTTTAAAATTATTTTTAAAAATATCAACATCTTCCGGAAGTAATGCTTACTCTCCATAAACAGTTGAAATAATAAACATGGAAGAAACTTCAAATAAATAAATCGGACGTTAAATAATGTTTTGGGATATTTTACGTTTCCTTCAGGCACAAACAATAAAAGGAACCATAGTTTACACAAAAACTTGAAATTCATCGGTAGGCGAAAATTTTAATATTGCCAAAGTACCTCGTTTATTGGGAATTTTGGTAACACCATATTCCTCAAATATTCCTGTACATTAAGGTTATATACATGGTTATTCTAGAAAATTCTCCAATTTCCAGAGTGGAAAATATTTAACATAAATATTATTATTATAAATATTAATAAATTTCTAATAAAAATTCTCCAAGAAGAACAGGTGAATAAATGCACAAACTTCAACGGCCTAACTAGTCGGAGTCATCAACATAAAATGCTTGTGAACATCGTATTCAGCATGGGCAACTGAAGAGCGCAAATATGTCGATGCTTGAGCAGCTCCTTCATTAAATCGAATAACATAATTTATTTATGATTTTAAATTATACTAGGTTCTCAGCAACCCGGTCGCCATTTTCATCGTTATCATACAATTGTATTAGATATATAAGTTCGATTGATGACCAGTGAATCTGAATAATTTTTTAGTTCGTTCATCAATTGAAATTATAAAATATAACAAATTCTGACATCCTATACTTTGCCTATGAATATAGAAGCATAAACTAAAAAATGCCGATGCGAAAAACAAATATATTTTTCCCCAAAGCTTCCAGAATAACCGCTATCAAAAACCATTGATGCATAAAAATTTTAATGGTGTCTTAAATATTTTTCTTAGATGATACCTTGTCCAAAATTGTTCACTTATCGACGAAATGCTTGAGTTAAATTTATCCATGAACTGGTTGGTTAAACCTATGCATGAAATTGCTCGGTTAAATTTATTCAGGAAATAGTTAAGTTAAAATCCAGGAAATGGTTTGGTTAAATTTACCCAGTATATTGTTTGGTTATAAAAAAATGATTATGAAGTAGTGTCGGAGGCGGCGGTCCTAGCAGCAGCCACGGCGCTGCTAAGCTGCACGAACTCTTCGACCGACGCTGCTTCGCTAAACGCGCTGCTCAACTGCACAGAGAAATATAGCGTCTTATTATTATTAGTGCATAATTTCGTATTGTCATTAATATACAATGTCGTATTCTTATTTGTATACAATGTCTTGTTATTATTAGTGTGTAATTTTTTATTCTTATTAATGTACAATGTCGTATTCTTATTAATATACAATGTTTTATTCTTATTTGTATACAATGTCTCATTTTTATTTGTATACAATGTCTTATTATTATTAATATACAATGTCTTATTCTTATTTATATAAGATGTTTTACTCTTAATAAGGACAGCGTTTTATTATTTTGTATCATTTTTTACCAATATTGTAAAGCTTGTTTTTCTTTTGTTCTACAGTGTATCATTCTTACTATTGTATGGCGACTCAGTCCAATAAATAATAATTGTACAATATAAATATATAAATAAATAATAATTATTTAATTAAATAAGTTATTTATATAAATAAATAATAATTGCACAGCGTATATCTTATTAAATTACAGTATCTTAGTTGAACTCATTTGCCAGGCTGCACAATTAAAATTACAACAAAAGCCTTTCAACTAACTTAACAAATTTAACTGTCGATTCAAGAGTCAAAATAATATTACCAGAAACGCTCAAAAAGCTGTAGATGACTTTACCAGAAATATCGCTGTTAATGAGAAGGATATGCCAAATTACAATGCTAACATAAAAGTGTAAAGCATAAGCATCTCAGGTTTTCTATTCAAATTTTCCAGCAGAAATCCAACAGATTTAGACCTCGGTACAGTCGTTCGGTGTTTCCTATCCATGCCCGGAGCGTAGCAAAATTAAATGAAAATGAAACCTTAAAACTGCACATATCTACTTGATTAATAAGTTTACATCCTCCAATAGCGGGTGTAGAAGTTTTTTTTTTATCTACGAAAGTTAATTTTTGCCTTACAGTGTTATCTTCTTATGAAATTGTCATACAAACAAATGTTTAGAACTAAGAGGTCAAACAGAAATTTAAATAAAAGATAATGAGCCTGAAACCTATTTAAAAATGTTTGAAAATATTGCAAATCTTACTGCAAAAGTGTATTCCAAACATCCCGCAAACAACAAATGATAATCATTAATATCCCTAACATTAATAATTAATAATATCATTTACTTTCATTAGTATTTAGTGTAATGGTAAATAGCATTTTATACATGTAGTTGATAATCTACTCAATTATTACAAAGTTGATTAGCACTGTATTTGAGAAGTGACCTGCATGGCGAAATGCTGCACATCAAGATGCAGCTGCTCCCTGATCTTATCTTATTATTATTTAGTGCAATGGTAAATAGCATTTTATATATGTAGTTGATAATCTACTCATACATCACAAGGTTGATTATCACTGAAGTCAACAAGTGACCTGCATGGCGAAGTGCTCCACGTCGAGATGCAGCTGCTCCCTGATCTTATTATATTTTTATTTACTGCAATGGTAAATAGCATTTTATATATGTAGTTGATAATCTACTCATTCATCACAAGGTTAATCAACACTGCAGTTGACCAGTGACCTGCATGGCGAAGTGCTGCACATCAAGATGCAGCTGCTCCCTGATCTTATCCTCGTCTGAGTGTCCCTGGGGCGCCGTGACGGCCGCGGTGCCGCGCGCCCGCTTCAGACGCCGCAAGCTCTCCTCTGTCTTGGACACGTTGTCCAGTACCTCGCTGGTCAGGGTCGAGTATGTGAGGATGGTGGAATGGATAGCGTGTGCATTGCACAGGCTGGTAGTTGCAACTTTTAACGGGAGCGGGAGATCGCCGGCCCCAAATTTTGAAGATAAGTTTTTACAACCATCACTGGCTATCTGAATGGCCAGAACCATTTTATTGCATTACATAACATCCTGGACAAGCCAGATACTCATTAATCAATCAAAAGTGGATGAATGGCAGAGTTTGCCATGAACCAAGCTACCCAAAAGAACTGGTCCTGCAATGAGGACTTGAACCCTTGTAACTGGAAGCGATAGACTGAGCCTCTCACCACTGCACCACGACGCTCTAGGCATGGAGACATATTAGCTGCATAAACGTGAAACAAAGATAAATATGCACAGGAAACAGTTGCTTCCTTTAAGACGATATAGACGGATGACAAACGCACAGTCAAGCGACGTATAAAAGCACAAATTATAACCGCGAATCAAAGCCGACTCACTGCTTAGCTACGGCAGCAGTGATGGTGACGTAGCATGAACGCAGCAGCGGCGCGGCGACGCAATGCTGCGCCAGCTGCTGCAGCTGCAGCACGGGAGCGGCCGCCCCCGACACGTAGGGTTGAGGCTTGGTGGGAACCTCTCTATTATGAGGGGGAAAGGGGGTTAAGTTAGCCAAGTTCCCTTATAGAAGATGGAGAATTCTAGCCTAAATTTTCAAATTTTACACGTATAGTTTACTGAAAATATTTCTTTTTATCGTAACTTCCACTATACGCAACTTTTTTACTTTTTTCAAAACGTTATTTCTGGAGAGATAGAAATTTAAAGGGCATAATTTCTGTTCATATTTCAAATGACGGATTAAGTAAAAAATCGGGTTACACAAGTTATCAAAAGCAAGTGCAATGACACTCCATTCGATGATAGTAAGCTGAATCGAATAACACAACCCGCGGCTCGACTAGAGAAAACAATCGAAAATTCTAAATTTTCAACATTACAAAAAAATTGTGAATTGAACAGAATTTTACAACGTGAGCGTTACCAGTAGTGGTGGTAACAGATTCTCAAGTAGTGAATTTCGTGTCACGGCAGAAGTTAACTGTGATTTATAATTGGGATTGTAACAAATATAATTTATAAATTTCCTGAACAACGTAAAAATGGCTCCACGTACCTGTTGGTGCGGCGGTAGGGGCGGGGCGTGGCAGTGACGGGCGGCGCCACGTACCTGTTGGTGCGGCGGTAGGGGCGGGGCGTGGCAGTGACGGGCGGCGCCACGTACCTGTTGGTGCGGCGGTAGAGGCGGGGCGTGGCAGTGACGGGCTGAAGAGCGGTGGTGACGGCGGTAATGACGTCATCACAGATGAGTTGAACCAGCGTTGCTTCAAAGGCCAACAGCAGTACGCTCTCTCTCTTCAATGCATCTGAAGGATGAGATTCCATCAGCTTAATATAAACCATTATTCAGATATATTACATTATACCTCATTCCGTGAATTCATGCAACCATCATTTTATTAATGGATAACCTTTAGTTTTTTCTTACCATTATACCAACATCAGAGAGTAAAATTCCAAGAAAACCATCAGTACCAATTGGAAGAAAATATTTACAATTAGAAGCAAAGTTCCGAATGAAATTTTAACGCACTTCGTTTTAAGCTTAAGGCAAATTTCAGGTTCACACTTCCTCATATATTCTCTAGGCTTACAAGCGAATGAATTGAGTGTAATTCCTGCAAGTCGGATCTCTGTGCTGAGAAATTCGTCCTATTTCTACCCACTGGTTCATTTCAAATTTCTTTAGACGAGACTTCAATAACAATGTATACAACTGATGAATATCAAGTACACCATTTCATAAATAACTTCTTCACACTGATTCTGCTCACTGATGATCATGGTGCTGTGTTTGTGTTCAAGGTGCTGCGTGTGCTGGGCGATGTGTTGGTCGTAGAGCGCTGTAATGTGCCCACACAAAACACGGATGTCGGACAGCAAAGCAACACAGAGATGAACCACTGACGTCGGGCGGCAGCTTCCCATGCCAGGCTTTGGATTCAGTGCCAAGAGGTCGCCTCCGCCACCCTGATGACCATTAATTATTATTTAGATTAAAGAGGGAAATATTGATAGTTAGACATTATAATCCATCCAAATAACAGGTACTGGAGTTTTGTTTTGGACACAAAAAAAATGTTTGGTACAGCTCTTATAATGGTTTATAGTTCCTCTTATCTAATTAACGCCTGACCACTGCGCTAGTCAGCGGGAGGTAACTTGAAACATTAATTGCGACCGCTACCGTGAAGGTCGTCATACCATCATTCAATTGGATGCTAATTGATCCATTTAACTACTGTAAAGACAGCCAGTCCCACATCAAATAAAATATAATCCTAGGAACCTGCAGCATTAGAAGGTTCATATTCTTGACCATAAATTTAACTCAGTAGTAGAATAACTGAAGTTTTCCTGATATTCCTCGAGCAGACGTTTCTTACCGTTTAATTATCTGCTTATAATTCTCCTTATTTTAAAAAAAGCACTTGAAACCTATATTTCAGGCGATGACGTATTCAATTCTTACATATTATTGTGAAAAACCAAGTGCACATCACTTGATGTCAACATATTTGTTCTTTAACCACGCTCAGAAATACTACTCACTGTGCGTTCTCACATTATGTGTGTAAGCAAAAATGATTTCAAGTTAGAAATCTGAATTAGCCAGCAAAATACAATATGAAGAGCAAAAATACTTCAAATGAGTATTACAAAGCTCACTTTGATCTCGTCTATAGCGTGCGTGATCCAGGTCCTGTGCCGGGACAGTATGAGAAGAGTGAGCTTCCAGAACCTGTGCAGCAGCGGCGGCAGGAACACCTCTGGCAGCCAGCACTGCTGCGTGCCGCGCATGACGCCCCGCGTGCTGCACAGCATCCCCCCTCCGCCACCCTCGCCTCCTGATAAATAAAACTCTTGAGTATCGCGCCTCCGCCACCCTCGCCTCCTTAAAAATAATACTCTCAAATGAATATGTCCCGCTTGTGATATTTTTATATGGGGGTAATGGCAGCTGAGACAGTGTTCATTAAGTCAATAGGTTCTGGATGTGATGTTTTTATAGGGGGGTTATTACAGCAGGAAAAATATCGATAAATCAATACTCAAGTTGTTCCGGTGATATTGTTATTGGGGATTATTGCAGTAATGACCATGCTAATTAAATCAGTAGTCTTGCAAACTTGAGTTGAGCTGCATTTGTGCGTAAAATTCCGTTAAAATACATGCAGAATTTCAAAGGTATGTCCCAAGCCGGACGTCTTAGGTTAGACGTAGCAGGCACTACATCTCAGGTCTGACTTCCCACGTCATAAATATCAGACAAGACGTTGCAGGAAAAACATTAATTTTAGTGCTGATTTCAAAGTGTCAATTACTTGTGTAAAGTATTTATTCATGTATTTATTTAAAAGCACACAGAGGCGACACAACTTACCTGACACGTCACGGCTGAGGAGCTTCACGCCGGCCTCCTCGCACAGGCTGCTCTCGACCACCTGTCTGATTTCTTGGTTCCTGGAAAGACTCAATCTATTAGTTGAGACGTGATATGGGTTCTAGAGACGCATGACTAGATCATGGGTTCTAACTCTCTGACTAGCCACATGACTAGATCATGGGTTCTAACTCTCTGACTAGCCACATGACTAGATCAGAGAGTTAACAATTTCAAGCCTAAAATTCTAGTCACGTGATATTTAGACGATTAAGTGATGCAATCAAGAAATCAGTGACATAAATTTATCAACTATTCATGCTGTTCCCTCTTCACCTTGGGATGCTACAAGTTGTTTCCGGTAATCTATCAAATAGGTTCAATTAATAGTAAAAATTCCAAGATTTGTTCAAGATTCCATGAACTAATTTTATAACTAAACCGACATTGAACACTACAGGACATTAAAACTTGGCCGTGTATTCAAAGCATTCTTGCACTAGCAAGCACAACAAAAATAAGTATATTCATTCATCTCTAGAGATAGAATTTTAATCAAACTTCATTATTTAGTCGATTATTCTTGTACAATACTTTTATGACTGGAGTGCTTACCCCTATGGTATGGTTCAATATATATAACCATGCGCGCAACTATCCAATTCGTAGCCATAATTTAATGACTAATTTGAAGTATAATACAAAATTATGGTCATTTAATTAAGACATTCTTATAACTTAGCCCTTTGCTCAAAATATTTTCTCTAACTGCACCTGTGTAAATTTTAGAATAATATGCATTTAAAAATTACTTTTTAAAGACAACACTTCAAAAGGGGCAAGTGTCTCCAATGTTATACATCTACAATGAATTTATTTTATTTTCGAATATTAATTAAAATTATTTTTATTATTTTTATCCAAAAAAATACATTTATTTTTTGCATTCTGTCAATTGATTCAAGCATTGTTTTCAACTTTACGCAAGAGTGAAATATTTTCACATGAATTGGACAGGTAGAAGTGTGTTAAATATTAATTATAAAATTTGTAGCAGACAAACTAACATCAAGAAGTGAAGTTAAAGAGAAATGCTGTAAAATGATCACTACTTTAAAGCCTGCAAAGTCAAATTGATAGCTGCAAACAATTCGCTCACCGGATCTGGAAATAAACGGCCAGATTCCAGAGGTCAAGAAATTTTTGGTACTCCTCCATGGCTCTGAACTGCACGACTCGTTCACGCGTTACAAGCAGCAATTCGAGAGCGTCCAGCAGCTCCAGGCACTGCGAGTACCTCTGCAAAAAGAATATTTCTTTCAAGCATTTGTATTAATTATTTATTAATACCTAATTAATAATTAATTATTTATTAATACAAATACTCTTACTCTTTACTTTTCAATACATTTTGTATTAATTAATATACAAATTAATAAGATACACAAATTATTTACATTAATTTGTATTAAATACGCGAAATAATACGAAGCCAATGTTCTGTTCACTGCAACTCCCAATGTTCATAGTTTATGTAAAGCATTTACGCCACTCTTGGTGTTCAGTGAGCAGTACAATGGCATGGTGCATACTCCTAATGCTCATTAACGAATGCAACTCATACGGATGTAACACCACGTGCATGCGGTATATATTGTTCACCAACGAGGAAACATTTAAAGTGCACCACAATGTGAACGTAAAATGAACGATACGCTCCGTGTATACTGTAGTGCGCGTGGGTGAATTAAGTAAAGTACATTACAAATTATGCAGAAGTGTAACAAATGTCCAAAATCAAGAGCTCTGCCTACGTGGATGGCAGTAGATACCCATGCGGCAGGCAGTAGATACCCACGTGGCAGGCAGTAGATACCCACGTGGGAGGCAGTAGATACCCACACAGGTGGCAGTAGATACCCACGTGGGTGGCAGTAGATGCCCATGTGGGTGGCAGTAGATACCCACGTGGGTGGCAGTAGATACCCACGTGGGTGGCAGTAGATACCCACGTGGGTGGCAGTAGATACCCACGTGGGTGGCAGTAGATGCCCATGTGGGTGGCAGTAGATACCCACACGGGTAGCAGTAGATACCCACACGGGTAGCAGTAGATACCTACTTGGTGGAAGAGGCTGGGGTTGGCGGGACTGAAGAAGTCGGTGAGGCTTGACAGCGCCGTCACCACCTCGGGGAAGACGCTGCGCTCGATGAACTGCAGCCCTGGCACCTCCTCTGCACTGCAGCTGCACGAAAATAATATTTTAGGCTTATAACTGTCCCAGCATTTAATAGATCATTCACAAAAACATTAGGTAACTATTAAAATTATCAGTAAAACTCCACATAGAGTTCAAATGCAAAGTCCTTGTAGAAATAAACAATACTATGAACACAAATTTCCACCAATTTACATGACATAAATATTATCAACTACATTTATATCAAAACTACACTCCGTGAGTAACAAATCTCAGTGAAGAATTGTTCGTTCACACAGAGGCAGTGAGCATGGACTAAATATTCATGCTAGGCATATGACACGGTTTGGTCGTACCTACTGTGATGTTTACGTGGCACTGTGAGGGCCAGCAGCGGCGCAAGGCACGTCTTCAGCTGAGACAACAAGGAGCTCAATACACCAGTCAGGCCGCGAGGGTTACTGCGCAGACTTTCGTCACTCACAGTCTGGGAACAACAAGTAGCTTTATTAGCCATAGCAAGTGCAGCAAGATACAGCACTAAGAAAAACTTGCTCACTATCGGGACAGGAAGAGTCCAGCAGCAAGAGTAGGTAACGGTCATTATCTGGATAGGATGAGTAGAGAATCAAGAATACCGGTTGTTATCTTGATAGGATGAGTAGAGTATCAAGAATAACAAATATTGGTTATTATCTGGATAGGAAGAGTAGAGTCTCAAGAGTAACGGTCATTATCTGGACAGGAAGATTAGAGCAGCAAGAGTAACGGTCATTATCTGGACAGGAAGAATAGAGTATCAAGAGTAACAGTCATTAGCTGGACAGAATAAGTAAAGCACTAACACTTACTTGATCACTCTATGGGCAGCAAGAGTATAACACCAAGTGCTATTTATTCAAAATTTGGTCACCAAATATAGAGCACTAACAGTGATATCAGCAATATCAAGCTCAGTGCATGCATGAATCTGTTGTAAATCATCAAAAGGTCTTGCAAAGTGTTAGTGCAAATTAGTGGGCTCTGGGCTGATATATATACTTGTTGTATGAGTGGGCTGAGTATGTCTCTCAGTACACGCTGCACAACACCAGGTCTGCCCAGCACAGTGCAGGCAACCAGGGTGTGTTTAAGCAAAGTGATGTTGCAGCTTGTGGTTGAACCTCTACAGAAGTCTCCACCCAGGGCTGTACGGAAGTTGCTCTCAATGCATGCCTCCACTGCAGATTGTATGCGCTCTATATGCTGGTGGAAGATAATAAAAAACAATACAGAAAAAATATCTTATGCATATAATGCACCACACTGCAGAGTGGCAGCAGTCACATCAGAAAGGAAACTACTTTTACAGCCTTGCTTCAGAATACAATAATAAAAAAAGACTTTCTTCTCCATTAAAGACTCGTGTTATACCAGGATTCAGTTAGTAGTTGTGTTCAAAAAGATCAGATGCTAACCAAAATGTGTATTGCAACTTGCTCCTGTCAATTGATGATCAAAATGGCATTTTGTCAATAATCTTTTATGAAATGACCACATTAGGAAGCTTACAGGCTTATATATGCTCATCAGATGTGTGCCTTCGCAGGTGCTGCCTAGATAATTCAGATGACTAAGCTCTGCAGCAAGCCTGTGCAGAAGCTCCTCTTGAGAGCAAACTTCCGCACACAAATTCTGGGAGGTGGTTTCTTCTGTACTTGGAGTTTCTGGGATACCAGTCCAGGGTGCTGATGGTGATGCAGCATTGTTTGAAATTTCTGGTTTTGTTTCAGCTTTTTGCTGCATTGGAGATTCAGAGTCTAAGCTAAGATGACTGATGAGATCCTCAAAGTTGTCCAGTCTGAGGAAACACAGAATATGTTCTTGGAGTTTAATGTTTTCCAACAAGTGATTTGATAAGCATTTTTTCAAAAATCAGGACCAAAAGATAGTATAATACTACATGTAAAATTCCAGCAAATATTTGAGGAATATCTTAGCTCTCCTATGGACTATTTTTAAATGAATAGCATTGAGGTAGACTGTAGATGAGTTAGAAGCAATTGATAATTTACTGGGAAAGTAAATAGATTGAAATCAGCTGGACCATAGATGTATAAAATATGAACACGCACAAGTGGTTAGAGAAGCTCAAACTGGAGAAGAATACCGGTACTGGCTGATGCTCTTACACTATAGAATGAAAACTAAAATGCACCATTCAGTTTTTTACACAAAACAATATTGTTCCACAAGATCATTTAGAACAATTTAAAGGAAAGAAGTATATAGTATATACATTATTTAGACTTGGTATGCAGCACTCAAAAAACACTATTTTTTTTTTTTTGTCACAATGTATACACACAACAAAGTACAAATCTGGCCATTAGCAAGGCAGAATAATTTAACCTACAATTAGTAGTGGAATATATACTACACTTTTGTAGTGAAGCCTGTCATTGCCTCATTGGTATTGATAGCAGGTGACATGAACAGCAGAAATGACACAATAAACCACAACTGTTGATGCTCCATATTGAATTTGCTCCATATTGAATGATCAGTTTTTGCACTTAAATAATAATTCCAGCATATTCACCCCTAACATAAGTCTTTAGTAAATGATGTATTACCTACTTTTTTGCAATAATAGAGAGTGTGGAGAGTTTCTTTTTGTATTTGAGAACTGCATCTTGCTTCTGCAGGTCAGACATCACTCCAGAGCTTGCAGTCTCCAACATTTGAGATACGCTCTGCACAAGGCATGTCTTAAAATACCCAAGAATATAAAAATAAAGAAAATAACAACCAAAAAGCAATATTTTTCATGGAAATGCTTTGGAAGAGAGCTTCTAGACATTTAAACCAATGAATAGGCTGATCAATGAGATATTTGGTGGTGAATTTCCAGAATTTTTTGTTGCTGTGAAATTTCCTGTAGATTTTCATTCAAAGCAATCTATTTATATTCATCTTAAAAGCAAGTTTTTATCAATTCCAGAACAAATTTTCTAGCCCCTTTGTTAATTCCTGTTCTAGCTCCAGGAAAATAGTTTTGCAGATAAAACTATATGGTAGTAATAATATCCTATTTTTTGATATGTTAATACTGGATAAATACTAGTATTAATAGATTTAGATTATTATATTAGCATAGCTTTTCAAACTGCTCAGGAAATTTAGAAAAAAAAACACTCAATATTGATAAAATCATAGCATGAATTCCTCACCAAAACTTCTTCTCTGAGCTTTTCCAAAGGAACTGTGAGAGTCTGTATAAGGCTGTCTATCCCAGTGAGGTTGGTTGAAAGGTTGACAAAGTCAGCATAGTCTCTGTTGATTAGATCAATCATTGCTGAACGCAACACCTTCAGGTAGACACCAAGATGGTCACGCAGCATCTCTAAGTTGGTATTGCCATTCAGCTGATTGTATTCTCTCATGAAGTCATCCACATTGAAGTCAGGCTGAGAACATAATAAATATTTACAGAATATTTTCTGTCACATTGGATACAAAATTACAGCATGTTGTATAATTCACCTTTTAGGACAGTTTCAAGATTTTATCAAAAATTCAAAATGTTTCTTTCATAAACTTTTTAGTACAATCTATGAAGTGGGACAGAATAAAAGAATACAGGATATAGTAATAAAATTTCAGGCATCAATAGAAAATATGCATGCCATAATACAAATTACCATTTAATTCTCTTACCCGCATGAAGACATCTTTGTCAAAACAAAGGTCCGAAGTCCCATAAAGTTGTACATCAGCTTTATTTTCCATGTTTTTGGCTTGTTATTTAGTCCTTATTTGACAAATAGAAGTAGAACCAGCAAGACCAAGATGATCATGCCATATTTTTATGTGAAGTTTGAAATGGAGCTATAAGAAAGTTTGAATTGAATATAATTCAGTATTTCATTGCTGCTGTCATATCTTTCTCTAGTCTCTACAAAAAATGAGAAGTCACAACATTTGTTTAACAGTTTAAGTAGATTTTAGGCCCTACAATCACATTTTGAAAAGTGGAATGAATTGACATGTAGCCTAGTATGCTTTTCAAGTTTCATATATGCCTTAAATAGATTAAAATACAAATTTGTACATATTTATTAATATCAATTTCTAATACATAGAGCCTAGAGGTAATTGACATTTGACAAAGTAATTAACCGTATGTTCATTAGTAAAATAAAATAGTTACATTTTTTAAAGATAAGTTTAGAAAATTATTTTTAGAGATATTCTTAGTTTTTTTATAAAGTAACAAATTGATCAATTATTCATTTCAAGATACTAATTTAGTAATTATCATGAATAAAAATTTTGCTGTGGCTGGTTCAATCTGCTTTTGTAAACTAAAAAATTTTTTGTTTAATATTCCAATTCACAGTCTAGACTAGACTATGCACTATGCTATGGTAGAATGAATAGAACATTCAACTTATTAGGCTAGCTAGGTACTAGGCTAACTACATAGCCTAACATAGGTAGTATTGATAGACTAAAGGTAGAACGCCACTCACTAGAACAACTTTCTCTGCAGACTTTGCAGACCACGACAGGTAATTAGGGGGTACTGATAGTACATAGTAGCTACAGTGTTAGAATTCTATTTTTAAGAACAGGGAGAGGGAGGTTCCTGCTCCTGCAGTCCTGCACCTGCAGTTTGGCCAGTGGCCACTGGCACTATCAGTTCAGAGCCATTTTGCATTTTATCCCAAATTTATTCAGTTAAATATAAGAAAAACTACCCACTTTTAGAAGTACTAATTCAACAATGGTTTTTTTTATCCACTACTGTAAACTGGGGTAACTTTGACTCCCGGGGTAACTTTGACCACTTTTGGTTTTTTTAACAAAAACCCCCAAAACTCAAAAACTATTTGACATAGAAAAATTTNAACTCACTCACTGCATAGTGGCAAAGCAGAGTTTTTTTACTATTCCTCAAGTTCAATTTTGGGTCCAATAACATACTACCTAAGTCAACAAAGTAGGCCTCTACGGCTCTACCAGCAATGGCCTGTGCCGGTGCCCGGTGGGCAGTCACTGTCTCACTGTCACTGACACTTAGTCAAAGGCTCAAAGCACTTGAACTCTAAACAAGTTAGCGTTACTAAAATTAGATCAATTGGCATACATACGGTATCCTACTGCCTATCAAGTTCTAGACTTCTGATTCTGAAGAATGTCAAAATACAGTGGCCAAATGGGATCTGTATCGCTCCTTCACCCACTTGCCTTACGTACGAATGGATGGCGGATGAGTAATCCATTGAACAGTGAAATTTATAAACGTGGCACCCTGCCACTTTAAAAAGAGTTTCTAGGTTCACCGAAATTATATCACAATCGCCGTCAGCAAGGTTAAACCATTTATTGTCCTCAATTTCTTTAACTTATCACCACTTAACTTCAAATTAACATCTACCAATTACAATTAGTCTGTCCAACGAAACAACAGTATAGTCAGTATGGACTACTAAACGCTAACGTACGGTATAGCTAGTAGGTATTCAGTATTTTAAATTTTTAAGACATGTTATTTAGCATTTACTAGCACTTGCACTGATGAAGAAATGTCGTAAAATATTGTTTTTTCTTGTAGCGAGCCTTTTAACTTTTTTCTATTGGTACGGTAGTAGTTAGTACTACGGCTAGGTACCTACTACGTAGTACGTAGTAGTAACTAGTAGGCTAACTTCTGTCTTCTGTGCTTTTGGCTTAGTTTTGTAAGTTGTAAGTATTTTAACTTCTGTTAATAAAATAGATGGCTTCTTATGAAGTCAGGCCCCTGGCGAGTGGCGACATAGGCCATAGGCTAAGTCAAGTGCTGTGACAAAGTTATTGGAATTTACACAGATTACACTAGCACTACAACTACAGTAGGAAGTCACTACCTAGTCAAATTAGCCTATGAGTGCAGAGTCAGAGTGCATGGGCCAGGCGCATAGTGGCAAACCAGAGCTTTTTTTTTAGAATCAGTTCATTTTTAATTTCCTCATATACTCAAGATTTAAACCAATTTCTTAAGTATGATAATGCTGGTATCCAGGATACTTTAATGGTCTACATATTGGACTCAAAAATGAACTTGAGGGAGAGTCTAAAAAACTCTCTGCTTTGCCACTATGGCCAGGCGGCAGGCGCCACTGCCACTGTGACAGCCTGACAGGGAGCTCAGCCCAGAGGCTCAGAGCTGCCAGAGGTGAGCAGGGTGCTGCTTTATTGAAATATCAGGCAAAACTTTCCTAAATTCCTGGCTAAAAATGGTTGTTTGATGAATGATTTTTTTTTAGAATTGTGGCTAAAAATATTTCTCATTTCATACCACATAAATTCAAAATTGGTAAAAGCCTTTAAAATGCCAATTGGAATGGGTAAAATAGGCCAGGTTCATGGGCATTCTTGTGTGAATCATGGTAAAAATATGTTTATTTTCAGTTTTTTAGGTATCATTTTATTAGGTGCAACTGTCAACTGTGCTACTTTAAGCCTAAGGGAGGTCTATCCGAAAAGTTATAAATTTGGTGTTTTTTGGTTTTATACTCATCTTAAAGCTGACATTCTGACCCTATCCAACGGTACAAAATCATCTCTGTGCAATGATTTATGCACTCACGACAGATCCTGGCCGGGTATTACTTTAGATTATTAAGCGCATCTAAAAAATTAAAAAAAAGTGTTTTTTTTTTAATTATATGTTTTTTGGTTTTGGGGTGTAGATTAAGAATCTGAAATCCATTTTTGGCGGTCGGCATTGGAAAACCAATTTTTTCCGATTTTTTATATATTTTCTAAGATAAAATGCAAGTTAAATCTTGGCCCCAATATCCGTGGATTTATGGCGTTTTTAACTTAGCCTTGGTGACCCATATACATACTCTTGCAAGTTGCAACCACAACATTGCAGGCAACCAGGACATTGCAACTGCGGTTAGGTTAGGTTAAGTTGAGTTAAGTTAGGTTTTTTTGCCAATTTTTGCCTGATGTTTTTTTTTACAAATAAGAGCCTCGGGATAAAAAATCAGTTTTCCGATGCCGACCGGGAAATCGGAAGAAAATGAGAAGAAAACAGGCAAATGAGTAAAAAAAAGGCAAAAATCAGGCTGTGTTACCTGATTGGTATGGTCTTTACTCTTTACAAATCGAATGGTATTCTTTCGATACTGTAGTTTGAAAACTGTAGGAGGAGATAGATTTTTAGAGTACCCTCTTTTTTACTGTTTTCTATGAATTTCATGTTTTCTATGAATTTTTCTGAAAAAATCATAGGAACAAAATGTGCTTGTTTTTTGGTTTTACATATATGTGTGAAGTTTCAGAAATATCCGTGAGTAAATGTGGAAGTTTTTCTGGAGGGTACTCTCAGGGTCGACCCCCTTTAATTGAGAAAATTACCCATAAAATAAGGCATAAGAGAGATAGAAGTGGTTTTGGCTTGTTCTTTGTCTATTCTGCCAAGTTTTTTATTTTAGCCTGAATAGTTTTGAAAGGCTCAGTTTACATATTATATTGGCTGTGTATGGAGTATTTGGATAATTGATATGGCATATGAGAATTTGTAAACCTGTTCCATAAAGAATGTAAAAATTCCCTTGTAAAAGGAAAATAATGGTCTAATTTTCCCACTGTTAGATTATACTTGGACAAGGTTCATTTTTTTGCATTCAGCATAATGGCTTCTGCATTTTACAAATTAATTATCAGGAATGCTGATAAATTTGTTCCTGCAAGAATGCAGCCATTGTGGAATCATCCAGCAGGTGAGCATTACTTTTCTTCTACGGTAGTTCTAACTTCTACCTATAAAAAGAAAGATTATTAAAGATTTATAATACTACATTACTTGATCTCTTATTTCATTCAATCATTTATAAATTAAACATTTTTTAGCTAGTAAAATTTTGCTGTATATTTATGTGTTTCTTGTCTCAAAATTTTACTGGTTATTTTTCATTTGCAGGTCCAAAAACTGTATTCTTCTGGGCCCCCTGTTTTAAATGGGTAATTATAGCTTTAAGTATTTTCAGAAAAAATTGGCAATGCTATAGTTTTTGTACACTTTTCACATACTTGAGACTTGAGTTGATGTAAGATTGCCATCAATTAATTTTCTTACGAAATGGTAGATATATGTGTAGCACGAATTTTTGGGATCCATAATATGCAAATTTTAGTGTAGGCTGGCAGAATTTCTTCTCTTAAACAAGATTTGTTAAAGACCAGAGAATTAGTTTTATTTATTAGCTTCTTGTTAGTTTTTTCAATAAGTCGTACTAAATTCTTTGTAGGTGTTGGAAGATTGAATATGCAAATTGTGTACAAATAGACATAAAAGATAGATATATTTAATTTTTCAAAATTTTTTCTATTGGGATGGTTATCTTTTTTTTTACACATTGTACTTTTTTATCTGATCAATTTGCCACAGTTTACAGATTTAGTACCACTTCATAAAATTTGTGCAATACAAATGTGTTGCAGCATATTTTTTCCTTTACTATTTCAATTTCATTCACTAATGTGATAAACTTACCTTGCAGGTCAGCTGCTAATTGTATCAAATTAAACGTCAGGTTTAGCTGTTATTTATCTATGTTCATCATTGATTTTTATATAATTTTTTGCAATTCAAATCTGCATCATTGAATGTTGGAATGATTTTCAATTCTTCAGTCTGAATGTATGGCTTCAATTTATAAATCCTATTCTAACATTTCAATAATCAAAACTAAAGAATTTTTCAAGAAAAGAATAATATTATATATAATTTTTATTTATGTTCAAAACTTTAAAATATCGTCAAAATTGCTTGCATGTATACCTACCAGTATCCAGGACATTAGGGTTGTCAACTGTTATATGTACCTACCTATATTATTATCAGACCCTGTGCAAACATTTCACTAATCTTTCATATACCTATTGATATTAACCCCACTATAAGCAAACACTTTAGAACCTTTCCCTGATGTGCAGGGCTTGGTCATTGCCGGCCTTGGTGATCTAAAAAGACCTGCTGAGAAGCTCTCGGTCTCACAGTCTGGAGCTTTGGCAGCAACTGGACTAATCTGGTCAAGGTTGGATTTAATTTATTCATTTTAAATTAAATATTCATTGCCAATGAATATTCTCCAAAGAAGAAGAATTCTCCAGAAAAAAATGCTAACTCCATGTAAACATTTTCTATACTGTGTTTTTTTTTTAACTCTGACATTCAATGTGATTCTGAAATTAATGAAGAAGAGTTTAGTATGTCAGTTTAATATATCTGCCAATGCACAACTCTTAAAAAAGACCAAAGAAAATGGATCAGAACATAAGGCGTGGTGTTCCATTTGAGATGCTTCATGACTGTGATCATTTTAAAAATATACTACATTATTAACCACAGACTTGTATTTGAAACTGAATAATTTTATTGGCATGATAGCTTATACATGTGCAGGAAACTTACTGCCATATATCTACTTGGAAATTTAATAAGGCTACTGTAAATGACACGTTTCTAAATTTTTATTGCTGCACTCTATTTTTAAATAATGCAATTTTTATAACATGTATTGTATACCTATCAGATGACTATTTTGTTGTCTTCATTGATGAAAAAAAAAAAACAATTTTCAAAACTATCAAAATAGGTAGATCTGGGCCTATTCTTTCAAAAAAAGTTAAAAGATCGTAAGTTCATCGGCCTATCATTGACGTCATTTCAAGCAAAATCCACCAATCATAGACAAGAAAATAGAGCTTAAGTACTTATGTTCATTTAGCAAATTTTGAAAGTATGGCCCCTGGTCAGTTATGGTTAAATTCTGTTCAGACAACATGTTTTCTTTATTGAAGGTTGGCAACTCAGTTTTTGACTATCTCAATGTCATTCATGGTAGATGATTTCAAAATAAATGCCTTAAGTCAAGTTTTGTGCCTAAAAAGTATGGGAAGTAAATGTTCATTCACTAGATTTTCTTAGTTTATTCATATACTTGAATTTGTGTTAAAATGGTATTTTTTTCTGAAATTACCCCAAAAATGTGTAGGAATATTTCTTTCTGATTTATTTATTTATGACATTAGTAGTCTGATATTAGTAGTTCACAATAGGAATTTTGTGTCAAAATGGACAAATTTGTAGTTGTGCACTTGCTGCTGGGCTTCTCTTTAAAACATTTATTTTTTTATAATTGATGGATTTTATATTGTTTTCAGCCTCCGTCAATCAGTTGCTAGAGTCGAGCAAAGATACTGAGTTCCTCGTAAAGATCTGATCAGTTTGCTTGTTAGGTGAAAATATCCGTTTGTCTTTTCATTGAAATTTCCTATATTTTTTAAAGTTATTTTTTTCATTTTGTTTACTTAGAAGATGGTGCATCTTAATTTACGCCACATTAGGCAATAGGGTAATTTTCATTATCACCTTTATCTGTCTTTTGCTAGGCCTACTGATTCTTTTTGCTATTCTTAAATGATATATGTACACAAATTCCTTTTATGATGAAATTTTGAAATTCACAAATTCATTTTTGCACTGAAATTTTTAGTTGGATTGACCAGGCCACATTGATCCTGCGTGCCATTTATAGCTAACATTTTTCTGTTTTTCTAGGTTGAGCTGCCTACCTAAAAATAAATGAATATAAGTTCCACTATTCCAAAGCGTTCCCATGTTGCAATGCGTTTCCTATGTTGCAACGAAATAGAAGTTCAAACAGCCTTGGAGCTTCCATGCCAAGTTAAAAGCCGTAATACCCACGACACCAAAACCATTGAGTGTCAAAACTTAATCTTTCTGTCACTAATCATGTGTTACTTTAATGTGAAGCTCTTTTTATAAGCTATATTTTATTACATAAACTATTTCAGATACTCGCTGGTCATCACACCCAGAAACTTGAATCTCTTCAGTGTGAACCTGTTTGTTGCTGTGACTGGGTGTTATCAGCTCTACCGTGTGTTTAGGTGAGAAAATTATTTTATTAGCTTTAACCCCAAATCACTGCAGGTTTAAAGCAAAATAATAGTGTGGAAGTCTAATGATAAAAGTTTCTTTTTGCTAGAAATTTGTGAAAAAAATATAATATGAGTTATAGTCTTATAGACAAAGAAAGATGTCCGCTGAGGATCCTCTAGAGAGATCACAAGCTTTTGTAATATCCCATTGACTTGGTCTTAATTTTTATTTAAATGTTTGGCAAAATGAATAAGTTAAGGGTTTTAGTTTGTTTGCTCACTTTATACAATAATTTTAGTGGTTTTTGTCATTGATTATTAATATTATTATTGATTGTTAATATTCTTATGTACTAGTAATTAAAGAAATCTGACCTATCATTATTCTCTCAGGTACAACCAGGATCAAAAAGCTCTGAAGAACTCGTCTGCTGCCAGCAACTAGCATCTGTTTAGATAATCTCATTGCAATTATCTAAGTTTCTAAAGAACGTGTCAAATTTGTTTTGCATGTTTACGTTTGAAAAGTTTACATTTATTGTTGCGACTTTTAGGCATTTCCGATTGAGCCATTTGATTATCAGGCCAGACCTAAGCATTGTAGTCTCCCTCCAGAGTCCAAACTGCTATGAAGCATATTACTTTGTTGTGAAAACGTGTTATTCACAATACGACGGATGTTCATTGTCTACATTTAGATGAGCTACCTCTTATTTGGAATTAATGCCGAAATTATCTAAAAGTAGAAAAATACAGGATTCGTATACTGTTGTTCTGCATCTTTTAGATGCTGCATTACTTTGTGAATATTCAAGGCATTGTCTGTGGACACATTGTGTACCATGTTTGATGCCATCTTTATCTAATGCCCGTGTAACTTGAGTTGCCGTCGGGAGACGTGCAATATGGAGTTTCAGGTTTAAGTTTCCTCTAAAAAAAATGTATTCAATTAATAATTCTGTCTTTCTTGAAGGCAGCTTATTCTTTGTCTCTTGTTATATCATGTTTTCATGCTTTCATTCCTCTCCTCAAAAACCGTTCTAAAGTTGATGTTTGGATTGATGTCACAGGTAATTTTCATTTTAATTCAGAAATAATTGGTTATCAAAACCTTATGACAGTGCAAATAAGGAACGAATAATTATAATGTAACTTTTGATGCGTAATAACGTTATGGCTGATACGATTATTACCTATTATTGCCTTGCTTGAATAATTATCAATGTAAAAGTCCTACAAATCTGCTCACAACGGAACACCTTTAGTGGTTTGAACGTATTAGTTAATAAACTCTTCTGTTCACAGTGTGGTGAATTTTGTTCAAATTTATGTTTTGTTTACTTGATTTCGTCTTCCTTAGGATACAAATATATTCATTTGATATTAATTGACCCTGTTTATTTTTTTTTTCTATGTGCAGGTTGTAAGTGTATTGCTCAAAGCTTGTTTACTCGTAGATATAGCCTGTGGCTGAAACATCCCTAGCAGCCGACCGAATTTTATCTAACTAACGCACATAAAATGTGATGAGCTGTCCTCCTTTTCCCTGTTATAATCGCACTCTTCCAGGATATTATTTATTTTCTAATGAAAGCTCATCGCCCTAATGCTTTAATCTCTAAATTTGACTTTTCTACTCCAAAACTATCGAAATTGCATCCTAAATCAGAGGATAAAATCTTCGGACATCTGCTTTGAAGTTTTGATCATTGAGAGAAGGAATAAGTGACACAGCCTTTCAGCATATGGCATTCACTCGCCTATAATGTGAACGATTTATGGATTATCAATGTTGCGAAAAACCTATGTTACGTCTCGCATTTCAGCTCGAATGAAGGAGTTATATAAGTAACTCCCGTATCTCTCCAGTCATCAGTTTGTTCGCTCCCCTCCACTCGTAAGTGGTACGTATTTAACATCACATTCTTGGTATTGAAAGACTTTTTCAGATATTTATTTTCAATATGGAAAAATTCCTTCATGTTTTGCTCGCATTGTTTCATGGGCTCAGTCGGAATTGCCTAAATGTATTGTTTGATGACATGAGTTTTGTACTCTTAGTTGTCCGCCAGGACAGACAATTATTCTCTAAACATCTATTACTTGCTGATAACTTGTTCTTGGATGCTATTGCAATTCTCTGTTTGCTTTACCAAAATTCGTTGGGTAAGCACTCTGACCGCAGTACGCGTAGTTTCGGCACTTACGTGTATGTAAATATGATTGCCAGATTTTATTTTCGTTAAGAGCATTTGCCACTCTTGTGAACTGTTAAATATTGTTGCTTGATCTATCTTGTGTATTCATATCCCGTGACATTGCACATTTGCTGTGAACGCATGCTATTGACTTGAAGTTCATAATAAATTCAAACGTGGAACTAACTGGTTACAATTCCAAACCATTGTCTACTTTGAGTCTTTTTGCAGCTAATGATCCTATTTAGTCAATGGTTTTTTGTTCGATTACCAAGAGCGTTTAAATTAAATTAAACACGCTCGTTCAACATAGACTCTGTTTGTGACCTCTCTCAAGAAAATCTTATTGAAATATCACTAATATTCTTATCCAATCGCAAATCAATCTTAGCTTATTCGACGTGAGAAATTCTTCACGCGTCTCCTGGAATAAGCAGTGTTTCAAACTAGCATTTATCTTCTAAGGTCGAACTAATATTTAGTGGAAGTTAAAGATAATGTAAAGTAGTATATTGAACCTTTTTCGCGCATTAGACATAATCTTGTAGAAATAACTTATTACACATAATTAAATCGCTAAACTGATTACAAATTGGTTTTGTTTATCTAATCCGACAGAAAAAAGTATTTCCTCCATATTCCGTTTTAATCGTGTCACGCGATATATCCCCTCAAAATCAGATTGCATCTGTTTTACGACCTTACTTATAAAATTTATCAGATCTCTTTCTATAGTGTTAAGGCAAGGATCTTGTATTCTTTCATGAGCTGGTACATTTTTTTCATACTTCTGTCGTGTTCAAAAAAGACGATAATACTGTTTTTTTTTTGTCATTTCGCATAATTTCATTTCAAGTCTTAGATAAAATAATAGTGAATGTTTTTACATCAATACAATTTTTTTACAATAGTGAATTTTACGATGTTTCGAATGTTTCTTTACATTCGAAACATTGCAAGATAAAACGAGTTGAAAGACTANTGTCATTTCGCATAATTTCATTTCAAGTCTTAGATAAAATAATAGTGAATGTTTTTACATCAATACAATTTTTTTACAATAGTGAATTTTACGATGTTTCGAATGTTTCTTTACATTCGAAACATTGCAAGATAAAACGAGTTGAAAGACTATCGCCCGTCATGATCACTGCGATACATTTTTGCGCAGTACATGTTTAGTATCTAGTTTACGAAATATGGGTTAAGATACACTCGCTTGCTGAAATTCGTCCTTTGGTGTCACTTTCTCGTTCGCAAACCTCGTGGTGCTCAACATGCCAAATTACGGATAGCGGAAAGCTAAAACGTTTTCACAGTCAACCGATTAGTAATCAAAAAAGTGAGTGCAGAACTATATGTGATGTTTTCATCTTAAAAATAAAAATACTTATTGATATTTCTTTTTAACTCTGGATAGTTGTTGTTTTAGAGAAATGGTAGGTGAAAAAACTATAGATTCTAACGTTTTAATTTATCAGATTGACTCGAATACAGTCTAAAAGGGAAATATTACATAGTAGTAGGCTACCTAAGGCCTAGTTTTTTTCAAGTTTTGATTTATGCTAACAACTTAGCTCAACAAGTAAATGAGTGATCTTCAAATGATTCAAATTAATATTTTTTTTCTGTTCAAAACAATTTTTTGTATAATGGTGACTTATCTAAGTGAAGTGGTCTTTGTTAGTGGGTATACATAGTGACACTGACAAACCACTGATTTTTTAACACATTTTTCTTAGGTAACTCTGTTTCGCGTTTGTTTGTGGATTTGTTTGTTGTTAGCATTGACAACGAAAATTAGCCCACTTCTGAAGTTCTGATTGCTCTAGACTAGAGATCTGAAATTTGGCTTGCAGGCTATTTTTGCCTACCTAACAATTTCAGATACAATCATAAAAACTAGCAATTAGATTTAGAGAGTCTCTAATTGCTAGTATTGTATTGCTAGTATTGATAATATTGATTGTATGATAGTTTTTATGATTGATAAAAACCAGAGCTTTTTTAGAATCAGTTCATTTTTAATTTCCTCATTTACTCAAGATTTAAACCAATTTCTTAAGTATGATAATGCTGGTATCCAGGATACTTTACTGGTCTACTTATAGGACTCAAAAATGAACTTGAGGGAGAGTCTAAAAAA